ACATGTAATATTTTCCATATGCCAGCTGGAAATTAAAGACACCCACAGCAGATATTCCAAATTGTTCAATGTGTCATTGACTGATTTAAAGGGGTTTGTGAAATTTGCTTTCAAATATTTGTAAAAAAAAAAAACATAAACTTTAAGTATGCATACTTTAAGTGACATGTTCGTTTTTACGATTTTTTTTATAAAGCTAAAAGGATAGTTGTCTCTTTGGAATCATATCACATCTCCTTCTTGTATTTATATATATATATATATATCTTTTAATTTGATAGTCTAGGAAATTGCTCGTTTTCGAATTTTGAAGCTATTTGGTTCGACCCGTGGCTTGCTAACAAGATTTAAAATTGACATGTAGTGTATAGAAAAGTGTCGGATTTCACGTCGGGGCCTTTTATAGCCGACTATACGGTATGAGTTTTTCTCATGTTAAAGGCCGTACGGTTGCCTATAATTGCTAACATTCACTTCATTTGATATCTGGAAGATAGTTGTCTCATTGGCAATCATACCACATGTCCTTGTTTTTATACAGATCGGTGTCAGAATAACATGTTATATGAGGGTGAATCTTTTTTCGTGTTGAATACAAACATGCATTTCCTTTTGGGCTAAATTAATGTTAGCAATACATTAATCTTGGTTAGAAGAGTCTAGTTACGTTTTTTATTATTAAGAGTTCAATAGAAAAAAATCCTTCATATCCTATATATCATTTTCATGATAAATCACGGACTTTGTTCTTAATAAAACTATCAAAGAGGGACGAAAGATACCAGAGGGACAGTCAAACTCATAGATCGAAAACAAACTGACAACGCCATGGCCAAAAATAAAAAGACAAACAGACAAATAATAGTACAGATGACACAACATAGAAAACCAAAGACTAAGCAACACGAACCCCACCAAAAACTGGGGGTGATCTCAGGTGCTCCGGAAGGGTAAGCAGATCCTGCTCCACATGTGGCACCCGTCGTGTTGCTTATGTTATTATCAACCTGAACTTTTCTTTACAGTCATGCAACTGGAAACTTTTCAGTGAGTTCTTAATTCAATTTTTTTTCGGCCATTTTTCTTGATTTATAGACAGAAGTATATTTATAATTTCAAAAAAAATAATGAATGTCAAACACATTTCACTCTTTTGATTCATTTTCTCAAATTTTTTTTATTCCAATCAGGTTTAGTTTTAAACGGGGTCTAGTAGGCTTAATTATGTACATTTTTGTAGGAAGTCAAAAGGGGGGGTCTATAATGTATATAACAAAGAAATTTTTCGATTAAATATGATACTGACCTCAAAAAGTTCATCTATTTGGTTATCGGGAACAATCTAACTTAACATTGATGGTCCGGGCTTATCTGCTTATTGTGCAATTCAGAGTCTACACGATCTACCAAAATATACATTAAGTCTTCATCTGACTCGGACAATATTTCTTCATAATTCGGATTTTTTGTAAGAGTCGCTTCATTTTCAGACGCAGATGATATATCTTCATATATTAGAAGAAAATTTCCACGAACATCCTCATCACGATTCGTAGAATTATCACAAAACTTTGATTGAGTTATAAATATATTGTCATAATAAAATTTAGAATGGAAATGGGGAATGTTTCAAAGAGACAACAACCCGACCAAAGAGCAGAAAACAGCCGAAGGCCATCAATGGGTCTTCGACACAGCGAGAAAATCCCGCATGTGATTTATTTCATTTATTAAAAAAATTGCGAATCGTAAGGGATACGTTTTACTCGGTTCCGAGCAAAGAAATGTTAAAATCAAAGAAAAAGATTGCATAAAGAATTCATACCAATGGTTTAAGTAAGAGAATCTGTAAGAAGTAGTGGATTCGAAATCGTTAATCAGGTTGCGACTTACGTCGCTCGTTGATTATCGTTATAAATTCTCAACTACGTAGACTGTTTACACGAGTGATTGCCCTTAAATGACGATTGTTTACCCATTTTTGTGTTTTTGGCAAAAACTAAAGAAGATAGAGCGAAAAGGTAAACAGAAAAAAATGACCAGCATTACAAGATCAACAAAAAAGATTTTTTTTTGTCATGAATTATCACAATGTCGAGAGTGTTCATTATTGAAGATGCACATAGCCCTAGGGGGTGATACTGTGTCTTTAAAGCCTCAGTTTCTGTTTAAATTTGTCAAATAAATTTTGGCAAACCTCTTTTCAATCAATCTTCCTCTTCCCTCTTGAATAAAATAAAGGTACTTAATATATACTCAATAGCTCCTTTAAGTTATTTCGTATCTTTCGTATCTGAACTTACATCAAACGGAGCTAAAACTGTATGAATAATGAGAGGTATATGCCAACGAGACAACCCAAAGACAAAACTAGAGGCTCTCAAGAGCTTGTGCCGCTCACCTGATTCTACTTTGGTTTTGGATATCATGTTAAAATAGATTAAAATCATAACAGATACCCTAATAATGAGTGAGGCCAAATTTGGTTTAATATTGGCCCTGTAATTTAACAAAAAATCCTGGTGGCCATCTTGAACAGTAAATCAGCAACAAAGTAGCAACACTTCATCAGCACCTCATAAGAAACATTTATGCCATGTTTGGTTTCATTCCATTCAGTGCACCTCTAGAAGAAGCATTTGACGTATGTATTTCCAATAGGGTCTTATGTTAAAGGAAGTCCCCCGCTGGCGGCCATCGTGGATGAAGGATCAGCTTCAAAGTAACAACACTAAGTCAGCACCTCATAAGGAACATTCATGCCATGTTTGGTTTCAATTCATTCAGTGGTTCTGTAAAAGAAGACATGTGTATGTATTGTCCATAGGGTCCTTTGTTAAACACTGTCCCCAGCTGGTGGCCATCTTGGATGATGGATCAGCTTCAAAGTAACAACACTTGGTCAGCACTTCATAAGGAACATTCATGCCATGTTTGGTTTCATTCCATTCAGTGGTTCTCTAAAAGAAGACATTCGTATGTATTTCCCATAGGGTCCTATGTTAAACTAAGTCCCCCGCTGGCGGCCATCTTGGATGATGGATCGGCTTCAAAGTAACAACACTGGGTCAGCACCTCAAAAGGAACATTCATGCCATGTTTAGTTTCATTCCATTCAATGGTTCTTTAAAAGAAGACATTTGTATGTATTTCCCATAGGGTCCTATGTTAAACAAAGTCCCCCGCTGGCGGCCATCTTGGATGATGGATCGGCTTCAAAGTAACAACACTTGGTCAGCACCTCATAAGGAACATTTTTTATTAAATTACAGGGCCAATATTAAACCAAATTTGGCCTCACTCATTATTAGGGTATCTGTTATGATTTTAATCTATTTTAAAATGATATCCAAAACCAAAGTAGAATCAGGTGAGCGGCACAGGCTCTTGAGAGCCTCTAGTTTTGTCTTTGGGTTGTCTAGTTGGCATATACCTCTCATTATTCATACAGTTTTAGCTCCGTTTGATGTAAGTTCAGATACGAAATAACTTAAAGGAGCTATTGAGTATATATTAAGTACCTTTATTTTATTCAAGAGGGAAGAGGAAGATTGATTGAAAAGAGGTTTGCCAAAATTTATTTGACAAATTTAAACAGAAACTGAGGCTTTAAAGACACAGTATCATCCCCTAGGGCTATGTGCATCTTCAACAATGAACACTCTCGACATTGTGATAATTCATGACAAAAAAAAATCTTTTTTGTTGATCTTGTAATGCTGGTCATTTTTTTCTGTTTACCTTTTCGCTCTATCTTCTTTAGTTTTTGCCAAAAACACAAAAATGGGTAAACAATCGTCATTTAAGGGCAATCACTCGTGTAAACAGTCTACGTAGTTGAGAATTTATAACGATAATCAACGAGCGACGTAAGTCGCAACCTGATTAACGATTTCGAATCCACTACTTCTTACAGATTCTCTTACTTAAACCATTGGTATGAATTCTTTATGCAATCTTTTTCTTTGATTTTAACATTTCTTTGCTCGGAACCGAGTAAAACGTATCCCTTACGATTCGCAATTTTTTTAATAAATGAAATAAATCACATGCGGGATTTTCTCGCTGTGTCGAAGACCCATTGATGACCTTCGGCTGTTTTCTGCTCTTTGGTCGGGTTGTTTGGTCTTGTTCTGAAAACCATTTGTTTCCACTACATTCCATGTATCTGTCCAAAGCATGGAGCATACAGACCAACAACAAAGCATGGAGCATACAGACCAACAACAAAGCATGGAGCATACAGACCAACAACTGTTTATTTCATGTGTCTGTCTACTGTTAAAGCCTGTGGTTGTCTTGGTATAATTCATTTTGTTATTTATTTTACAGTATGAACATAAAATGATTAGCTGTTTCTCATAAATATTTGTCATAAAATTTATGGGAACCTTTTAAAGCTTACCTTGTAGTGCTGGCCTTTGCCCATTGCCAATTTTTAAAACTGTACTGTGACTTGTAGAATTGTATTGAACAGACAACTGTCATATTGACTATCATACTAGCATCTCCTTAATTTTATATTCTAAAAGTTGTCCTCTCATTATTGTTAATAAGATCATCATTGTCAACCTGTATTTTTGCTAATTATTTACAGGCAGATAGAAAAGAGGCGAGTGTATGCACCAATGAAAAATATACTGAAAATCAAATAATAATTTTTTTTTATTGTCATCAATTTCTTTTTTTAAAGGAAAATAATCTGGAAACAAAAATATACTGAAACACTGTTCTAATGTGTAATGTAATATTGTATCAAGCTTCATGTAAATGTAATAAATGAAGTACAAATGTACAAGGAGTTGTATTGCTAAGGTGGGTTATGATCAGGCTAAAAGCTAAAGAACCTGAAATCTTCTAATGAAGAGGTGCACATATCATGATCTATTACATATTTATAGACTTTTGATTGATTGATTGACTAATTGTTGCCTGTTTAATGACTTTCAAGCAATAAAGACAAAAAACACAGAAATTTGGGCAGACAAGACAAGAAACTTTGATTTAAATCATCTACAGATATGCATGGCATAGGTTGTAAAATGAACAGATTTTTTTTATCTGATTACACAATTCACAATATTTACAATGTCAAAACAAATTTACAAAATCATATAACATCATGATAGTAATTTTACAATATATAAGAAACCTAATATAACTAAATATGAGAAAGTGTAAATTGTTTTAGACCCTGATGTACAAGGTGAGAGTGTTCTTATAATCAATGGTGGTTGTTCTGTGGGTTGATTGGGTTCCGGGAAAAATCCATTGTGAACTATGAGATCTCGCATGAATCGTGCAGAGTCTTTTGGAGTTCTGGGTCTGCTTGGATTGCTGAAGTCAACAAAGTGGAGACCAAACCTCTCTGTATATCCTCTCATCCACTCAAAATTATCCATCAGTGACCAGGCTGTGTATCCTTTCACTTTAACACCATCTACTCTTATTGCTGATAAAGAAAACCAGATTGGGATGTGAATTAGTAATTGATCATCAATAAATTTTTACTTAACTAAAAAAATGAAGCTTCTTAAAATTAGACAAAATTACTTCCCAAAATCTATATAAATACACAGCTGTGCCAGGAACAATTGATACGTCCATACACAAATCCCTGAGAGAGGACATTGTATGTTAAGGATGTACTTAGGTCAGGTTTATGAATTTTTGTCAGATGTTAGGACTTTTGGGGTTTTTTCTTACGATACAGGGTAAAATATTTTGCCCCATATCACCCACTTTTCTTTTCATAGAAGTCTTCAATAGCTCATAAAAGGTCATTACCAAAATTAAGCAGATTCTAGATTTTTTTCTTACGATTTGAGACCCAAATAATGAAATGCTAAATATAAGGTGAAAGTCCGAGTAAGCCTTTTCCCGCCATTTAAAAAAAAATAAAATATCGCAAAAAGGAGTTCCATAACCTATCAATATTTCTAGCTTATTTTGTTCCTTTACTAATGCTCTTCTGACTTATAGTATCAATTTTAAGTTCTAGATTTTTTTAATTTATCCTACCTACATCCCTAATCTAGGAAAAATTAACGTAAATATCAGGAAATATTCATACCATTTTTTTTAAGGATTTACAAGCTGAATCTAAATTTATGTCTTTTTCAATTCACAAATTTTAATAAATGATTTTATCACTGTCCAGTTAAAAATCTTGTGTTCTTGACAAATGTCTATAATTATTCTCATACTAGCAATTATATTTACGCACATTACCCAAACACAGTGAATTTGAAAATAAAGAAAAAAAATAAGTCCCTTTATCTTGTTTTACGGGTTTTCTTGCATATTAAATGTTAAGGAAGAAATCTTATTCATTAAATTTTCAATTAGCATGTAAAGCAATCAAGAACATTCTAAATAGTTTGATTTACATGTATCTTTATACCAAAAGGGAAAATAAGCTTGACAAAATTGAGATACCTGTATGATTAGATCAATTTTCCAAGGAAAAGGTCAGTAAAAAGAAAGCCTTTTTTCACCTAACTTATTTTCATTCAATGTTTTGTTATAGTTTTGTATTTCTATAATATGGATGAAACTATTCAAACTGTTAAAGGGAGACAACTCAATATATTCTCAGTGAAAGTTTTGCCCTGAAATAGTAAAATCATTGTTGTACAATAAAAAAACAATTGCATATTAAAATGCACCAACAGAAAAAATCTAGAAAAGATACTTTTTAACAACAACTTTCCTAAACATTTAAGTATAATGTTTGAGCAAGCTACAGAGTATGTACAAAATATAAGATTTTTTTTTTTAATGTTCCAGGTAATGTATTCAAACTTGAAAGATGATTTTTATCACAAAAACTCAATGATATATACTAATATACCATCATTCACTTGAAATTTTTCTGTCCTTAAGAGATAGTTCCTAGTACAAATGTAACAGGATAATTCTAAAATAGTTATTCCCTCTTTGCCAACAAGCATTTAAATGTACCTGTAAATGCTATATAAGATTTAAATTACCTCTGGGACTTGTTGGACACATGTATAATTACCTGTTAACATGTGTTTAATTTTAAAGCTTCTGTTAATTAAAAAAAGTGATAGCTATAATTATCTTCTGGATATTATTTTTAGATGCCTTTTGTGGTTTAGTTTTAATTAGTTAGATTCTTAAAACCCATTCTTTTTACGACCTCTGAAATATTGGACAATATATTGTCTCCCAAAGAATTCCAAAATCTAAAGGATTTATTACCTGACATTAAACAGTAAAATAAAATATTAAAATAAGCCAAACAGATGAAAATTTTGTTCTAAGTAAATCTACATTTGTAACCTCCATAATTGTCTTAGTTGGAGATCTTCTACTTTGGATGTTAAAATATTGACACCTTGTAACTAACAACTTTTTGCATGTTCACCTCTTGATGATGTTGATGCATTGCAGTCTCATTGATAAACCTAATAAATCCTTCTGTTCAGATAGGAAAGAAGAAATATGGTGTGGATATGAAATAATTAATAAACCCGAATAATAACAGGAAATGAACAACTATTCAACTGCTTTCTTGAACTTGTCGATTGCTTGTAAGTCTTAAACAATAAAACTAAACTATAGTCTACATCTCACTGTAAGATTATATCCCAGAATTATCAGTTGTAGACATATTTAAACCAGGAACATATATATTGACGGGACTTGACACTACCTGATTGTAGTCGATTATATCGTCGTGCCATAGTTAATAAAGATACGATACAGAAACGGATATGTGTAAAAAACGGACTCGCTATTATCCTAATAATTTCTGATATTATCAATAAAATGTCATTCAAACTAGTTTTATAGTGATGCTAGTGTATCAAACTTGTATTCTGTCACTTCAAATTTGTTAAAATCGCAAGCATTTTATCACAGAATTGTGCAGAATGCAAACCAGGTAATAAAAAAATGGCGGCCATTGCCGCGATGATTTACAAATTCCCAAACTATTATAAAACACTTCACATCAAATAAATCAAACTTATTTTGGTAATTTTATATGACAAAATATATCTACTAAATGATAAAACTTGTATTTATTTACAATTAGAGTTATGTGGTTTATTTGTTGAGCAGTTCTGATAGTTTTTCAGTCAGACGCTACCAAAATCCGTAAATCTCGGGAAGTCTCGGGGAGTCCGAGATTTTATCAATTTTATACTGAAAAGCGTATCAGATTCATTTCCCGTTAGATATACTGTTCCCAGTTTAAACACAATGGCGTAATTTTGGTTTGTTCTTTTTTCACATATTTCTAGCTCTAGAAACTTTCTATGGAAGTCAAGTATAATAGGCACTTCCATAGGTAAAGATAAATTCAATCATTATACAAAATAAGAAAAAAGTGATAGTCGACATAAAACCATACCTTTTAATACATTGTTGATATAATGTTTATAATAGTATATTCTATGATCGTCCTGTAGACTTCCATTTCTATCAGAGATACCATTCTCTGTTATATATACAGGAACATCTCCATAGTGATTTCTTATCCAGTTTAGACCTTTTCTTAGTCCCCATGGTGTAACCTTTAGCCATGAAGATCCAGATCTACAATTATTTAAAAATAATCTTTCAGTTAACAACTGACAAAAGAATAGTGAATGTTGTAACAATGAATGTAAAAATTTTGGTGTGGGGGTTATTTTTTGGAACATGTATATTGGGATAAAATATCAGGAGTGTTCACGTAACACGTTTCTCTAACATTTGATATTTTTGTATACAAGTAAATAATTTCGAGTTGGAGAAACGTGATTTTTTGGCAGTAGGGATTAATGAAATTTACCTGTAAATGGAGTTACAGTGAATCCAGCTCAAAATAACTTTTGAAATATATGACGGAAATTTGAAAAAAATATATTTATCTATAAATATACAAAACTATTTTACAATTGTATAAAATTATCAACAATATTAGCACTAATAGACAAATACACTTAACAATCAGGTATGCACAGGAAAAATGCTTTAAATTGTGGGCACATTTATAGTATTTATATACAAAAAATAAAATCTTTAAATTAAGCACAAAAAGTGTGCTTAATAAACAAAAGTGCAAACGATGAAATGCCTTGCCTGCTATACTTATCATGATTGAATTTATGTTAAAAGTTTGTTATATGATCAGATGAACTCTGTACACTTTTATACAATCATACCAATCATATGGTCAATGATTTATCAATTTGTTTACACTGTTGACTTATTTGTAGATTTTACTTTGCTGAACAATTTAACTGTTCAAAGTTTCTGTCTATCTATCATAATTTCTGAAAAAAACTTAAATAAAAAGTTGTTCTTGGGCAATAACTTTTGTTAGGGATCAATTGATGAATTCCATTCTTAGACTTATTGGTAGATCTTACTTTGCTGAAGATTTTTGCTGTTTAAAATTTCTTTTTATCTTTAATAGTTTTCAAGATAACAACCAAAAATAGAAATTTCCTAAACATTATTACTTCAGGGGCAATAACTCCAAATTGGGTTGTCTGATTCGTCTTAAATATTCTCACTTATAGATCTTGACCTGCTAATCATATTTGCTACATGTCAGTTTTTCTCTAACTGTTTTAGTTTTTGATATATAACCAACAACTGGAATAAAAAACACAAACTGTTTACTAGATACCTCAAGGATCATTCACCTAAAGTTTGGTTGATATTGGTTCAAGAGTTTCATAGGAGAAGATCTTTGAAATTGTTTACGACGACAACAGACAGGAAATATACATCGTTTTATCCTTTGAAAGTCATCAATTACCTAACGAATAGCCAATGAAAATGTCTCCATATCGTTTCATAATGCTGGATGATAAGCCAATCAAATTAACGCATAAATTAAGTAAATATAATTGAAGTTTAAAACTAGAGGCTCTTTAGAGCCTGTGTCGCTCACCTAGGTCTATGAGCATCTTCAACAATGAACTCTCTCTCCAACATTGTGGACTAGAATAGAATTCACAACAAAAAACCTTTTTTTTTGTTGATCTTGTATTGCTCATAATTTTTTCTGTTTACAGTTTCTCTCTATTTTCTTTAGTTTTTGCCCAAAACAGAAAAAACGGTAAAAATCATTATCAAAGGGCAATAACTCCAATAAGGGGTGGACAGACGATTTCAAGACTGCAAACTTATTTGTAAATCAAGTCTTGCTGATCACTTTTGCTTATTTAAGTTTCTATCTATCTATAACAGTTTTTTCAGATATTAGGCAAAAACGCAAAAAAATGAAAAAATTCGTCGTTAAAGGGCAATAACTCCAATAAGGAGTTATCTGATGATTTCGACCATGGGAACTTATTTGTAGATCTCGTCTTGTTGATCATTCTTTGTATATAAAGTTTCTCCCTTCTATCTATTATAGTTTTTCAGATATTAGACAAACATGAAAAAAATCGGTAAAATTCATCATTTAAGGGTAATAACTCATATAAGAAGTCCTCTGATGGTTTTAAAGTAAATAGATAATATGAAGAATTTTCAAGATAATAGACAAAACTTGCATTTTACTCCTATGTTCTATTTTTAGCCATGTCGCCCATGTTGGTTGGCAGGCAGGGTCATCGGACATATTTTTTAAACAAGATACCCTTATGATGTTTGTGGCCAAGTTTGGTTAAATTTGGCCCAGAATAATCAGAGGAGAAGATTTTTGTAAAAGTTAATGACGACGGACGACGAAAGAAGACTGACGCCAAGTGATGAGAAAAGCTCACTTGGCCTTTTAGGCCAGGTAAGCTAAAAACAGACTATTTTCAAAGTAGATTGGACTAAGAGTGCACATTTTATGAATTATTAGTTGAAAAAGCATACCCAATCCATGTGGGATCTTTTGTTGATGTGATATCATTGTCTTCATTGTAGTCCACTTTGTAGACTTTGTAGCTAGGAGTTGACTTCAGTGTAACAATATTTGAAGTATAAAAATTTAATCCAAAGAAATCTGATGTGCCTGGAAAGAGAATATAAAAAAAAAATGTTAAACGAAATTTACCAAAAAAGATTGTACAGTACAACAGACCACCCCAACCACCAACACCTGATTACTGTGAGAAAAAAAACATGGGTATAAATACAAAAAATAACAAGCTTGTCAGATTGGGTACTGGCCCACAATGTGGTGGGGCTAAACCAATTTAAACCAGTGCAAGTTGATACGTACTGACAAAAATAGCATCTAAAAAAGAAAGTAAACATGCGGGCTAAAAATGGCTACACACAAAATAAATTATCAGCAAAAATAACTTGGTTAACAGCACCCAAAGAATAATTGTGGACAAGTTTGGTTCCAATTGGACCAGTTGTTTCAGAGAAGATTTTTGTAAAAGTTAATGGGTGACAAACACTGCAAACAAGGCCTGGTGATCTGAAAAGGACAGATTAAAAGGGAATTTACAAATATATGATGAGGGCATTACTACAGACCTGCCAACTATCCCGATTTTGGCAGTATCATCCCGATTTTCATGCCTCAACCCGAATCCCGATATCGGGATCGTAAAACAAGTCAAAATCCCAATTTTTACAAAATCTACCTGAAAAAATTGTTGGTTAACGGTTTTGGAGTTTTTCTGATCAATTTCTATAAATCAATAATTTTACCTGGCGACATATTTATGACAAGTTTACCGCCCCAGCTAATCAACGGTCACAACAGGTGTCATAATTTTTTGTTACAGGTAATCTGCTTATCGGATGGGTCATAATGATCCTCAAAATTAATTAATTTGTAAATAGAATTGGTCAGTTGGCATTTCAATTTTAATCAATTTATCATACGATCACAGTTTGCAACATTTACCATAGTTTCATGACAAAAACGTAATCAACTGAAAGACGAAAACTGTAATGAACTCATTAGGAAACATTGTTTATCTTGAAATCCGTAACAATTGTTGAAATTGGACGTGTTTCTCTCCAGTTCTGATTTAAAATCAACACCATTTTATATGCACTTCTACTGTGTATATAAGCCTCCGTCGGTAGGAGCACCTCTGAATACAAAGAAAGATAACTCAAATGTTATCCATTTTCTCATTACTGATTGACTAACTCAAGAACTTAGCTTTAGGTCTTTTGAATCATGGTGCAAATATTAGAAGGTCTTTGGAGGTGAAATGGGGGGGGGTCTTCATTTTGAATTCTTTATTTTTAAGGCCATTTTTCACTATTCTTAAGTTATTTTGCCAATTAATAAGTACAAGAAATAAAAGAAAACAAGACTTATTAGCTCATCATCAGCATTCCAAAAGAAAAAAGAAGAGATATGAAACTATTTCTAGAGTAAAAACAGTGCACACAGAAACGCCGCAAAAATTGTAACCCTTAAAAATCTGGTCACGCACTAAAACCCCCATGGGGATTTTCAAAAGTTGGCAGGTCTGTTACTATGGATTTGATAGTAGAGATCTAGTTTAATGTGTGGATGTACCGTTGATGAAGTTTTTCTCATGATCAGTAAACTCTGACCTAGTTTAATGTGTGAATGTACCTTTAATGAAGTTATTCTCATGATCAGTAAACTCTGACCTAGTTTAATGTGTGAATGTACCTTTTAATGAAGTTTTTCTCATGATCAGTAAACTCTGACCTAGTTTAATGTGTGAATGTACCTTTAATGAAGTTTTTCTCATGATCAGTCAACTCTGACCTAGTTTAATGTGTGAATGTACCTTTAATGAAGTTATTCTCATGATCAGTCAACTCTGACCTAGTTTAATGTGTGGATGTACCTTTAATGAAGTTATTCTCATGATCAGTTAACTCTGACCTAGTTTAATGTGTGGATGTACCTTTAATGAAGTTATTCTCATGATCAGTAAACTCTGACCTAGTTTAATGTGTGAATGTACCTTTAATGAAGTTTTTCTCATGATCAGTAAACTCTGACCTAGTTTAATGTGTGAATGTACCTTTAATGAAGTTATTCTCATGATCAATGTACCTTTAATGAAGTTTTTCTCATGATCAGTAAACTCTGACCTAGTTTAATGTGTGAATGTACCTTTAATGAAGTTATTCTCATGATCAGTCAACTCTGACCTAGTTTAATGTGTGAATGTACCTTTAATGAAGTTATTCTCATGATCAGTAAACTCTGACCTAGTTTAATGTGTGAATGTACCTTTAATGAAGTTTTTCTCATGATCAGTAAACTCTGACCTAATTTAATGTGTGAATGTACCTTTAATGAAGTTTTTCTCATCATCAGTAAACTCTGGGAGACGACTTTTGCTGTAATTAAGATGGATACTTTTGTTTCCAATTTTGTACTTCATAACATCAGGGTAATCTCCATTGACATACACAGGGTTGGCATACTGGCCTAACCAGAACTGGTTCCCTATTTCTGATGCTTTCAGATCATTTTGATCCTCCATGTTTTTTGGTTCATGCCAGTCAAAATTTAATGTTATTCCAATTTGTCCTGAAATTAATAATGAATACAAAAAAAAAAATCAAGAATCCAATTGATTATAGTTATTACAGTTATTCTGAAACCAGGCCTGACATATTGTTATTTGGGATTACAATAATATAATTTGTCATATAATTTTAATAGTTCATCCACAATGAACATGTGTACTACGTTTCAAGTTGATGTTCAACTTTATGGCTAACTATCTTTACCAAAAACTTTAACCAGCAAATGTATTTATTTCCCACATTTTTATGGTCAGTGAACCATGTAGTTGAGGTCAAAACAGTAATCTGGCATAAATTTTAAATGTTCACAACATAATGAACATTTTAATCTTAGATACCTGATATTTTTTATTAGTTGTTATTGGCTTTAAACTAGATGTCAGTAACTGCGAGTACTTTCAGATTTGTACTTTGTGTCTTATTTGTTGTGAGGGATGTATAAATTCCCTGCCATGTCCAGTCTGTGTTTTTGTTCACTGTTTTTATGCTTTGTATTGATCTGATGAGTTAAGCCTTTTTTAACTGATTTTTATAGTTTGTTCTTATGTTGTGCCGTCCCAATTCAGGAGTCAGTAGTTCAGTGGTTGTCATTGGTTCATGTCTGTCATACTTGTTTTGTTATAAATTAGGTCGTTCTAAGTTTTCTCAATTAAATTGTTTAATATTTTTCATGTCAGGTTCTTTTATAGCCAACTAACTGGTATGGGTTTTTCTCATTGTTGAAGGCTGTACAGTTGACTGTAATTGCTTACATCCACTTCATTTGGACTTTGGTGGATAGTTGTCTCATTGGCAATCATACCACATCTCCTTATTTTTATTTATGCATACTAAGTTTTAAGTTGATGTGACCACACCTTTCTGGTAAACTACCTTAATTAAAAACTTAAATCTTATACGGGACAAACAGACAAACAGAAGCACAGATAAAAAAAATGCCCCTCTTCTATTACTGGCAGGACATAAATACTAATATCTGACATATTTCTGTATTGTGAACATCAAAAGGAGTTAATTGATAAATGTATAATATTTTTTGATTTTCACATTTCAAGAGGCTGAATATTGACCTTATCTTACCTTTAACTGAGTGTTATCTTTATTGTGCATCTGTATTCTTAATTTTACAGACAAAATTGATTAATACCTTTTTGAGTTGGTCTAAATTCTTCATCATAGATATGGTATGCCTTTGCATGAGCTTTGATCAAATTATGGGCTGCTACATATGTTGTGGTTCCTGGTCCTATGACTCCTGGGGCCATATGACCATCACCATACCCCTGTGTGGCTACAACTCGAGGTTCATTGAGTGTTATCCAAAATTTCACCTATGATAAATTTAGTTCTATATTAGTTTAATGAAACATAATTAAAACTCAGTTTTGTGGTGTTCATTATATCAACATAATGATATGTCTGACACAATGGTATTCTGTTTTAAAATAGGGTATGTGAAAACCCTACCATTTGGAACTTTAAATAGAAAAAACTCGAGACACGTCAGTCAGGAGCAAATTGTAACTATATGATATCCAAATGTTTCAAATTTTTGTTTTACAACATGAAAAAAAGTAATTTTCACATAACACTCATAATGTTTATATATGGATCTAAAGGCTAGAATGAATGATAGGGTGTACATAAATTGTCACTTTATTCATGACCTATCCATATACAATATTAATGAGAAATCAAAGTGCATTATACTGTTAGAACAGCAATAAACCCCAACACATATATGTATTTTCACATAAAATGCTGTTCAACTCCCCTCCCTGACTTCTCATTAAATTTTTCTAGAAACAGTCTTAATTTAGTATCAAATGTAACTAAGTTACTTAGGCATGAAGTTTAAGTAATGACAATCTAAATATTGTGGCACTGATTTGTACTATCAAAGTTGATTGTTGAAGACTGTATCATGTGTATTTTGGCCTCTAGATGTCTTCTGATTTTTTTGTGGTGTTAGAGTTGCTGCATCATTGATGTACACCTCATATCTACTACAGGTACAATTCATAACATAATTTCAACTGTGTGAAATATAATTTATTTTCTATGATGGGGTTTGAAGATAGGTACCTAAATGTAATGAATCAACTTATCACTCAAAATATAAAATATAACAGATTATGTTATCTCTTAAATATTACTGAATGCTATCATTAAGACTTAAGTAGGTTTTAGGGGTGAAATATCAATGATTTAACAAATGATTTGACTTGACCGAGAGAAAAAAATCTTGCTTTTTACAATGTAAGTTATTGTGACCAAATTATTACAAAAATACTTGAATATACATGGGACATGTGATAAAAGATACACCATCATGTCCCCTAAATAGGGCTAAAAGTTATCGGACACTTTTACATATATATAGGTCAAGTTGACCTAAAACTTAATGATCAATATTTCATAAAATAAGAAAAAAGTAATGGCAAAATATTATTGATATTGTATTGAAGGTTTCTTAGAATTTTTTTTTAACTAACTCTGGATATACAGACAATCAGTCAGACAAGTGTGAACCTAAAACCTAGTCACATCAGCATGTGGCATCAAAATTATGGGTTACAATATAAAGATTTCTGAAAAGCCTTTTTATATTTGCACTCATTATTATGATTATGGATATTAAGAGAACTATATTCTAGTTGGTTTTAGAAGTACTAAGCATTAACTTACTCTGTTTCCAAATTCTCTGAAACAAATTCTGGCATACTGTGCAAACAATTCTGACACTGTTTCATTAGCCCATCCTCCATACTTGTCCTGTAAGGTCTGTGGTAAGTCCCAATGGTACAGGGTAACCATAGGTGTTATATTAGCTGCTAGTAAACTGTTTATCAAGTCATTGTAGTAATCAACACCCATACGATTGAAAGACTGAGTGGTGCCATCTGGTAAGATTCTTGGCCATGAAATAGAGAATCTATAGTGTGTCATCTGTAAATAAAAATGTTAACACATTACAATTTAAACCATACAGGTGTTTACAAATTTTCTTGTACAATGTAATTGGTCAATCCTAGTTCAACTGTTGCAAATGCTTTTTGAAAAATAATTATCAGCAGTTAAAATAAAATTGCTCAAGTCTTGACTCAGGATTTTACCTTAAAGACTCAGTCCTGTTTGAAGAACCTAAAAGAGTCATGGTATTGCTATGATAAATTGAACAATTGATGATTTTAAAAGTTTGAGCAAGCTTTGTTTTGCACAAATCAGACAATGTAAAACAATAGTAAAAATATAGCACGCAATTCAGTGGGTGTTGTTGGTTGCAGTCTGTCAAATTTTAAATTTTTTTATTGTTTTGTAAAATATAAGGTCGTTAAGTTTTCTCTTTTGCCTTGCTTAACATTTTGTCTGCTGTCTGGATTGAAATACTTGTCTTTTAGTTTTTTAACCTTGTATGTAATTAAAGTTAGCACACAATTCTAACTGATATTTGCAATATTGCTTTAATTAGTTATGACAACGACAGAAATATAGATTCCACCACTGCAGCAAGTGTTTTACGATATTTCTCAACTCGAGATACTTACATTTAAATATTTAAAGCGCAAAGCTTGCCAAGATTTTTAAATAATTAAAATTTAGCTGTTGAGAATGGAGAAATAACGTAATACACGAGTTATAGTGGTGGAATCTGTTTCTCCAATGATTTTTATCCTTCCTTTTCAAAGATTTGCAGAAAGTTGTGTTCTTTTTATGTGATGTCATCAATCATGGTCGCCTTTTTTCATGACGTCACAATAGGAAATTCAGAAGAAACCAAGAAAATTTGACGTCATAATTGAATTTTGACCAATCGTTTGCTGAGAACAGTTATTTCACTAGTGAGGAGAACAATTTTTTTGAGAACAATCGGTTTGGGAAATGTGAAAATAGTGATAAAAATTAGAGAAATAAAATGCAACCATTGTAAAGTTCTGCTATACAATTGAAGGGTTATTTCACAAAATATTGATGCATATTGATGGTCTCTTGAAGAATGTATATGGCAATAAACAAGCTTGTTCCATTAGGATCTGTGAGCCATTACTTTGATTCTAAGTTTAAAATTGAAAAAAAAATAGAGGCCTTGTACATCTTTAGATCTTAGGTAAGCCTTAAGATTAAAAAAAAATTCACACCTAGAAAAACATCACCACTATCAATCAAATTTTTTTTTTAAATTTGGACTTCTAGTTGTGCTTTTTAGACTATGCACTATATAAGAACAGTAGGTTGACCTTCCGTTAATTTATCATAAAACTATGTTTTTTTTGGGGTTAAATTAAAGAATGTCATGTGATTAAAACTGTGTTTTTCTCTCTCCTTATTATGAAAGTCCTTAAATTGAGGTCTACCACTATCATTTCAATTTTATTACAATTGACATGTCATGATACCAAAAACCTATTTAAGTTTATAATGCCTATCTAATACAGTGTTTTACAAAATTTTAAAGTGCAATAATGTTAAAACTGTGAGGGAAAAAGAGGGGTGAAAGATACCAAAAGGGACATTCAAAATATTAAATAGACATGCCATTCAGAACATATACCATGAGGAAAAATATTAAATAGACATGCCATTCAGAACATATACCATGAGGAAAAATATTAAATAGACATGCCATTCAGAACATATACCATGAGGAAAAATATTAAATAGACATGCCATTCGGAACATATACCATGAGGAAAAATATTAAATAGACATGCCATTCAGAACATATACCATGAGGAAAAATATTAAATAGACATGCCATTCGGAACATATACCATGAGGAAAAATATTAAATAGACATGCCATTCGGAACATATACCATGAGGAAAAATATTAAATAGACATGCCATTCGGAACATATACCATGAGGAAAAATATTAAATAGACATGCCATTCGGAACATATACCATGAGGAAAAATCATTCACAGTAATGTTATTTAATATTTCGTTGCATTAATTGGAACATAAGGAATTAACTATACAGCAGTTATACCCTGTAAGTATGCAGTGGGAAATACTTCATGAATATTAAGGATAGTCAATAAATCTAAATTAGAAAAGTTTACAAACCTTCATATCTTTCATTAACTTGATATCTTCATGATATTTATGATAACTATCACAAGCTACATCTCCTGTTGCATTGTTGTCTATTTTACCATTGTGTGAATGAGTATCCCATATACTTGGTCCTTTACCTACAAATAAACTGTATTTATTAAAACACAAAAAAATGAGAAACATCTTACATCAAAATCCATTCAGTTGTTTCTCTCATTATATTGGATGAGGCATTCACCAAGCATGAGATGTTCCGAAATACTGTGGATTCATAATTATTCGTTGGATACCAATTTTCATGGGTTTCGTGGGAACAGGTGAACCACGAATTTCAATGTTCAACGAATTCTAATGTTCAATTGCCTTGTATGCAGACATTGGCAAACCACGAAATCAATCATCCACAAAAATGCAAGTTTTCCTCAACCCTAGAAAATTGGTGCTAACGAAAATAAATGAATCCACAGTAAGACAAAACATTCTCTTAAAATGAGAAATGAATAAATAATACCGGTACTTCATTGTCATTTAAACATATATTTGTGACAAATTTGTGGGTCGGTTCAGCATACCCTTGCACCACTGGAATCCTTGAATACTACTCAAGAGGTGAGAGAGAAAAAATTAAGATCATTATCAGCTTGTTTTCCTTTAGAACTTATGTGTTGAGATGATATCTTTTTATTGCCAAATTCATGATTTTAAGCAAATATAGGAGGAATCCATATCTTAGTCTGTCATTTTTATTATTGGCTTATACATATTCCTTCTTCTAAACAAAAGTGTTTTCAACTTTTTTACAGAAAAAAAACTTGCCAGTAAGAGGCAAATTGACTTTAAATAAATAGTGATAGAAGTTTGATGTACATTAAATCACATTGCTGGTATTTTGAGGATTAATTTGAGCCCTTAACCACATTTGTAGTCAAAGAATTACGATGAAACAAGACTTAACAAAAGAAATGTCTTAAATTTGCTTCACCAGTACAGTGTACTGTTGTGAAAGGGAAAGGGTTAAATTTATACAAAGCAACAGTTTAAATTTTTTCTATTTATTTCATTTTCAAATAAGTTTTTCCATTTTTCAATTAATTCATTTTTCAATCAAGGGCTATGAAGACTTTACTTTATTCAAATATCTAAATTTGGGGTAAATGTCAATTAGACAGAAACCCCTTGACAAAATTTAACCAAAAGACATCTAGAGGGCAAGATACAGCCTTTAAAAATAGACATGTACAATATGTCAGCTCTGAATCATCCTGCATCTAGAAAAGTTGCGAATAAATGTAACAAAAATAATCAAAGATCTTCCATTAAACTCTGTGTTGTACTATCCCAACATGATACATAAGGTCTAAAATGTCAATATGAAACATCAATTGAAATAAGTGGAACTCCCTAAACATAATATATTTGATCCAAATTACAGTGGTTATCAAACATAAGACATTGGACCTTACCTTGATATAATGGCTGTTCATATGAAAATAAGGAGTTGTGGTATGATTGCCAATGAGACAACTATCCACCAATGCAAAGACATAAGGGCAATGATTAAACAACTATAGGTCACTGGATGACCTTCAACAACTAGCTAAACCCATATCGTACAGTAAGCTATAAGAGACAGATCAACCATCTTCATCAGTTCTTAACAAGAATTACAAACATTTCAGTTTTACAAAGTTTGCAATTCAAATGATGGATAATTAACTTTTTATAATTCTTATATAACTTGCATGTCTACAAAATACATGTACTGTAATCAGATTGTTGTTGTTATAACTGCTTTCACATTTAATCCGATTGGTTCCTTAAAAAAAAATCCCTTGGTTTACACTTCGATAGACCATGTTGCCGAAACTACTTTCGTAACCTTCAATGTGTTTATTCATGCGTGATACACATGCGTTATATTAAACTTTTGTCTTTTGTGATGAATACAGGGGTTCCAAGCAAAGTGGAGATTGAAAAACAAATAATTAACAGTGACTAATTAGTGCATAACAAAAAGAAATAATGCATTAAATCTTGGAAAATGTATAAAATGAAAATAAATAAAACAAAATTCCACGAAATTTCATGACTGATCTTGGCGCATTAACTTCATGGCAAAACATGACATACGAATGAAAATTCTCAAGCTGATGATTATTTCTTTACTTATACGGTTCAAATTCGAAAAATAGCTCATTAAAATGAAGTTTTAGAGATTGGTGTTATTTTATTTTAGATTCTCTTGGATTAATGGAACATTTAGGGATTTAAGAAAGTCAATATGGCGGCTAACTCCTTAGTTACAACATGTCAATTGTGCAGTTGATGTTAAATAGTAGCCAATAAACAAACAATTGTTGATTAAGAAATAATTCATGGGGGCTTGAATTTATACGGATTTTACCACGGGTTTGCCCTTTTCGCTCGTAGTAAAATATTTAGCATAAAGGACAAACCGGTGGTAAAATCAGTATAAATTCAAACACCCATGAATTATTTCTATTCTAATAGATCCTAATAGGACAAATACAGCAATTCTTTTGGATCAAAGCGCTCTAGGTGAAGGCATTAAACACACTATTAATATTGACGTAAAAGAATGAAGAAAACTGAACTATTGACATGTTTAAACTATTTACAATAAAGTACTTATATAGCTTTGGATGAATTTAAATGATAATCTTACTTATATGTAAAAAAAAATTAGCTTTTAACAAATTTTATTATCGTATAATTATGTTTCCTTGATTTGATGACTTTCAGTTTCCCGTAAAACGCTTATATTCTTACATCATCGTTCGATGATGTCATTTCCACCAATTGACGTCAGGTAGCTCATTCATAAAAAAACATATGATGTGGGAGTATGAATGGAACAGCCCAAATAAATCATGACCTTGCCGATAAGTTGACATACAATATATTCATATTTTACCACAGGTGTGTACTCAAAGCGTTTGAAGAACATCATATTAGAATTCAAAATTGTGAATGTTTCATTTCAGAATTATAAGGATTAAACACATTTTTTCCAGTGTGAAATGCTGAACCTAAGACAATCTGACAGTGATTTTGAAAGGTTTGGTTTAAACTGGCCTTATAATATTCAGGAGGGGGCTTCCTTTTTAAAGTTAATGTTGATGAACATCTTTAAGCCTGGTAAGATTAAAATAAAAAGAACTATTAAAAGCTAACTCACATGCCCACTGTCCCTAGAGCAATGAAAATATACATTGGTCCAAATTTAACAAATTCTGAATAATCCAATTCATGAAGTTTTTGAACAGAGCTCAAGAAAACCTGCATACAAATTTGAAAGAGATTTTACAAGAACACAATTAATAATATGACTTTTGGTACTAATCCCTATGCACAAAAAATGTTAATAGTTTCCTGTTTTTCGGATTTTACAATAACAGCTAATTTAAAACATGTTTCTATCTTAAGTTTATTGTTTTTACCATCTACATTCCAAGCTCCTTCTACTTGGTAAGCAGCTGTGGCTGAACTCCAGGCAAAATCATCAGGGAAAGTTCCATAATAAAAATCATCCATCATTGGTAGTTTATTTGGATCTCTAGTATGCTTAACATGTTCAAATGGTGGGTGGTTATCTAGGTTAACAAAGCCATTGTTGATAATTAAGTTTCTATAGAAATTGGCAGAAGCCTTTGGAATTCTGGGTCTGCTTGGATCACTGAAGTTGACATAGTGGAGACCAAACCGCTCTGTATATCCTCTCATCCACTCAAAATTATCCATCAGTGACCAGGCTGTGTATCCTTTAACATTTACATCATCCAATTGAATTGCTGAAAGAAAAATGCAAACAAAATGGACTAAACAGCGATAACAACACTAATGTGTGGGGATGGGAACATATGGCTACAGAAAATTATGCTGGGAATATTTATAAAATCACTGGCAAGTCATGAAATAGTCATTGTAACTTGTCAATTGAATATAGTTGTTGGTATATCATTTGGTCTACAACTACTTAGAAAATGAACAATTCATTACAACTGATGTTCAATTTGAGCTTATTAGACAATGATTGATTTGATGGTGTAGGATCTGCAATATTGAACTATGAAATACATCAGGAAAACCTTTTTTTAGTATAAATGTGTTTGCAGACCTGCCAACTTTTGAAAATCCCAATGGTGGTTTTAGTGCGGGACAACAATTTCAAAGGTTACATTTTTTTGCGACATTTTTTAGTGGCACTGTTTTGTAAAAAAGTATCATATCTTTTTTTTTATGGCATACTGATGATGAGCTAATAAGCCCTTTCCTTCTTTTTATTCACATGATTCTTGTACTTAAATTATTGTGTAGAAAAGATGAACATGTAGTTAGAATACTAGGAAATATTTTCTAGGAATATTTAATAAAGTGACTGTTGACTTTCCCAATTTAAAAAATATGGACAAAGAAGGACATTTATCTGATTCCTCAGCTCTTGGAAAAAATAAAAGATATTTTTCTTTAAATGATTCAAAAATAGAATAAAAAGAATGACAACCCTGTATGGTCTGTTACAATAAGTGTAATATTCATTGAGCTACAGTAACAGTTTATTATGTTTATGGTAGAATTGCAACTTTGAATTTTGTCAATCAGCCATGCTTTTCTTCTTAAGCTGTGTAAGAACCTTCTTACAGATGAAAATTCATTTGCTATGATCACGATTTTTACAATTCTGACATACAGGAACTAGAGGCTCTCAAGAGCCTGTGTCCCTCACCTGTATCGACTGTTGTTTTGGAAATAATATAAAATAAGGTAAAAATCATAATTAATAGTATTAGATACTCTAATAATGATTGAGGCCAAGTTTGGTTTAATTTGGCCCAGTAGTTAAATTAAAAGCAGGTCATCACATTGTAGTCTTATAATAGTTACTGAAGACCCCTTATCATTATTTAAATTAATTTTCAAGTTGTGACCATTTGAAATTGTTTTTTTTTTTACAATTTTCCCTTAGACTTCTATAGTAAACCCCTATGTTCTATTTTGAGCTATGGCAGCCATGTTGGTTGGATGACAGGGTCATAGGATACATTTTTCTAACAAGACACCCTTTTGAAAATTGTGGCTAAGTTTAATTCTATTTGGCCCAGTAGATTAAGTGGAGAAGATTTTTACAAAAATTTACGAAAAATTGATTATAAAGGGCAATAACTCCTTATGGGGTCAATTGACAATTTTGGTCATATTAACCTATTTGTAGATCGTACTTTGCTGAACATTATTGCTGTTTACAGTTTATCTCTATCTATAATAATATTTAAAGGGGCACTAGCTACGAGATATAAAATAATTATAAAATATGATTTTTTTTGTTCAATCTTTAATGAAAGTGTAATAGTGAAATAATAATTCGCTTTTAGCAGCCAGTATTGTCTAATTTTGTCAAAATAAGCAAATAAATATTGATGATAAAATTATTCACTTGCAAGTGAATAATTCGACCTCATTGAATCCGTATTCATGTGAACTTCAATTTAACCCATTAGCTAGAGATGGATAACGCATGAATTGTGTGCATGTTTGATTATTTATAGGAAAAGAATGTCAACATTGAAAGTTAACAAAGGTAATTCATTTAATTGACTGAATTGATCCTCAAAAAAAATCATTCTTATACAGGTAAAAATGATGATTAACATATATTTTTAATCTATAAATGAAATTAAATAGACCTAGAAGAATCCAATTGCACGAGTTGTGCTATCTATTTATATCTTTATTTATGTTTATATCCCTTATATGGGCATCAGTGGTTTTCGGGAGGTCAACTCGACAGTTAATTAGATGGCGTTTAGACTAAAATACACACAAAACGAAGCTACATATTATCAACCCTATGCCCTGTAAATTGTTTATTTTAGATTTTTTATAATTTGGATAAATGTTTTACATTGTTATATAACAAATATGAGAATTTGAGTCAAATCGGTGAACATGAATTTGACAGCTAGTGCACTTTTAAGATAAAAAAAAAAACAAAAACTGCAAAATTTCCTTAAAATTACCAATTCAGGGGCAGCAACCCAACAATGGGTCGTCTGATGCGTCTGAAAATTTCAGGGCACATTGATCTTGACCTGATGAACATTTTTACCCCTGTCAGAACTGCTCTAAATGCTTTAGTTTCAGAGATATAAGCCAAACTGCATTTTACCCCTATGTTCTATTTTAAGACATGGCAGCCATCTTGGTTGATGGGCAAGGTCATCAGATACATTTTTTAAACTAGATACCCTAAGGATGATTTAGACCAAGTTTGGTTTAACTTGGCCCAGTAGTTTCAGAGGAGAAGATTTTTGTAAAAGATTACAAAAATTCAGGAAAAACTGTGTAAAATTGACTTTAAAGGGCAATAACTCCTTATGAGGTCAATTGACAATTTTGGTCATTTGACTTATTTGTAGATCTTACTTTGTTGAAAAATTTTGCTGTTTACAGTTTATCTCTATCTATTATAATATTCAAGATAAAAACCAAAAACTGCAAAATTTCCTTAAAATTACCAATTCAGGGGCAGCAACCTAACAACAGGTTGTCTAATGTGTCTGAAAATTTCAGGGCCGATAGATCTTGACCTGATGAACAGTCTTTACCATTGTCAGATTTGCTCTAAATGCTTTAGTTTCAGAGATATAAGCCAAAAACTGCATTTTACCCCCATGTTCTATTTTTAGCCATAGCGGCCATCTTGGTTGATGGGCAGGGGTCATCGGATACATTTTTTAAACTAGATACCCTAAGGATGATTTAGGCCAAGTTTGGTTTTATTTGGCCCAGTATTTCTGAGGAGAAGATTTTTGTAAAGGTTAACGGACAACGGACCCTATTGGTCCAGGTGAGCTAAAAAGGAATACAACTCAGAAGTTCCAAACTAGTTCGAATTTTTGCATGTTTGCAATAATCACAAGAAACAACGATTTTGATTGGCTTATTAACGTGACCATGTGAAACACAGACCTTAATTGGCTGATCACAATTGTCTCCCTTGGGAAAAGTTCAAAATCAGAACAATAATTTTTTTTTTATAGAATTTCACAAAATTGTGTTTTAGAGTTTTTTTTTCACAATCATGATAGTGCAATCATGACAAAGGGTCAAAGTTGTGTAGTTCATGCCTAAATCGTGAAAGTTGGCAGGTATGTGGTTGACTATAACCAGAAGATACTTGACGGTAAAGATAATTTATCTTTCAGATTTCTACACAACCAAATTTGCTGTCAACAGCAGGTCATATAAAGCAATGTATTTATTGCTTTTAAGTTTCTTTGTTTTTTCCAGCATAACCAGATTTCTAATTTTAAGAATTCCATAGCAAGACTTATTTTTGGCTGTGAGCATGACTGATGAAGATGAATCCAAATTCAAAGAAAAGCAAATTGGACCACCAAATTTAGAAAGTGTTATTTTCTGTTATACATTCTTGATCTTGCTGTAGGAAACTTTATTCCACAATTGACATTCCATCTCTGTTTTAGGGATGAAACATGACACCAAAAGCACTTCTCCTTTGACCTCTGATAATCTCATATACATTTAACTTATGATTAAAATAAATTCCTTTGTTACCCACTTTCATACAGCCAAATATAATTTTGGAAGAGCATCTATCTATGCCAATAATACTTTTTCCTTTTGGTTAAATCAAATTTTAAAAAAATAATTAAAAAAATAACATATCTTATATACCTTTAAGTACATTATTGATATAATGTTTATAATAGTATATTCTATGATCATCCTGTAGACTTCCATTTCTGTCAGAGATACCATTCTCTGTTATATATACCGGAACATCTCCATAGTGATTTCTTATCCAGTTTAGACCTTTTCTTAGTCCCCATGGTGTAACCTTTAGCCATGAAGATCCAGACCTAAAATAAGAACAAATATTATAACAAAATCTGATCTTTTCTTATAATGTACTATCAGTTCAGAATTTGTAATGTTATATCATCAATTGTGCATGCCTGCCAACAATTTGTAGCTACAAAGTGAGAGATCTCCCTCTTTCAATTCCCACTAAGGGGGATGTTATGCATGACAACCTTTTATCATTCAAAATTTTGTAATAATGTTCAAAGTGTTTTAACATTTCGGCACAAACAGATAAAATATAATTTTCTTTACATGGATTTATTACGGTAAGTTAAAACAACATTCTTGATGACCTGGGATATGTCTCTGTACTATGCAGATAACCAATTTTTTTGCAAAACAGTGAAAATCAATCACAGAAAATACTTTAAAAACAACTCAAATGATGAAAAGGGGTGAAAATAGGAAGAATTGGGGTCAAAGAGATAGTTTAACATCCCTTGCTGGTGACTGGTCCACAGGGTTATATTTAAGGAAATTGAGAAAGTCTCCATCCTAGATTTGGTGTGTTGGCAGGTTTGATTGTGAAACAAGAATATTTGTCCATAAGAAAACATGTGCCACTTGCAATGGCACATTTCCATCTTCAATGAACCACACAATCTGCGTCAAAACCCTAATTTGGTACTTATTTTAAAAAGTTCACATCGTAATTATCATGTGTACTACTCTTAAAGTTGATGTGACCACATGGCCAAATCTGCAACCTGATAGGGGATGGATGAATAGCCTTACAGACAGAGAGACATAAGTGTGGCATAAAAAAGTGAAAGAATATGTACATGTATTAAACTGACTAGAATAACATATAATAAGTAATAACAGGAATCACAAAAAGTACTGCACAGTATTACAGACCACATTAACCACCATCACATTTTAAATTCTGTTCACCTTATTTGAAGGCAGCATTTACTGAAATGACTTTAACTATTACTAATCAAATATTTTTGTTCATTCATTAGCAATCAAAATAACAGATGCAGTCTTTTGAATTATCAGTTCATGTAATAAATGAATGTAAACATTATTGTAACTATGAGACATTTAGACATCATGTAAATATATCCACAAGAAGGTTTCAATGCTAAACTGAAGATAACAAAGATAAATTGCATAATAAGCCCCTACAGGTACGAAATTTCAGGAATAACAGTACTGTAATTAAAAGATTTGCTGCTGTCAATTGGTGATTTAACAGTTCAAAATTCTATTTTACTGGATTTGTGTAGCAGAGCAGACAGTAAATTCCCTTAAGGATGTTCGCTCGTCTTGTTTTTGAATTTTTGCCAGATATTCGAAATCCTCTGGTTTTATCAATGTAGTGCCATTAAAAAATTTTGCCCACAAACCCCTACTTTTCTTTCGATAATTTGATTACATATAGTTTAAAATGTCATCTTTGAAAATCTTATAAAATCCTTGTTATTTTTTCATCGTTTTTGAAAGAAAAAAGGTGCCAATGTTTAATGTATGAAAAATCTAGAGAGAATTATTTCCCGTCAAATTTTCAATGGCTTATATCTCGAATACAAGCACACGGACCCTTCAATTTTTTCTGCTTTTTTAGTTTCTATATTTATATACTATCAATTTATAACAGTCTTTTAAAAAGCTTGTTATTAAATTAAAAAAAAATAATAAAATTGAAACAGAGAAGCTAACACCCTTAATTAAAGACAACAACTCTTCTACTACAGTTATTGTTATTGTTATGCCTATTCCTTTCCTAGTGCATTTCAAAAAGAAATACTAAAATAGAGTTTGAAACTATGTTTCAATAAAAACAATAAATTCTGTGAAATTTCATGAAAGATTTGGCCTAAAAATGTCATGGCAAATCAAGACATCATACAAAAATTAACAGAACTTCATATTATCATTATCATTATTGTTTCTTTACTTACGCCTATTTATAATCATTATGATGTAACATGCCCTTATTGGGCTGATGCTTGGTTTAATTAAGTATTCATATTCGTACAAATGAAAACTTTGACTGAAGGTTTTTCTGTTTCATGTACCATTCAAATTGGAATAACATCTCCTTAAAACGATGTTTTTGAGGAAGTTTAGTTTTTATTTCAATTATATTGTATAAATTAAACATTTGTTGATTCCAGCAATTCAATATCGCAGCTCAATCCTTCGCTTTGACATGTCAATTTTAGATTTGACTGTAAATTTTTGCCGTTGAAAATTGCATTATAATCTTCTATAAATCCATTTATAATAAACTCTATAAAAAATATATTCTGATAGCACCATGGCACAATTGTACTATAAAGACCATGTGAAGAACACTTGATGAGCACAACAGAACTTGGACAAATGGGAAAAAAAGACCATGTATTAAAATGAAAGTGAAAGTAAATTTATAAATGCAATAAAAGTGCTGTTCCTTTGCTTTTTGTGTTTTTTGCTGAGCCCATACTGATTTGATGTCATGGATGGATACCACATATCCTTTCTCTTCTATTATGTATTATTATGAAAGTGAAAATGGACTTCAGCTTTCGATTTCATATGGCCAAGTGATCAGTAATGTTGAAGTTGAAATGACTTTTCAAAGTAGAAAAGAATCCAGCTGAATTTAGCAGTGAACTTCACAATGATACAATTTAATCATTTTAATATGTAAACAAAACACAGAAGTGGCTTACTATGGCTTTGAACTGTCTGAAGTCAGTTAAAAGCTGCTAAATCAGCTGCTGATATGTACAACAATCAAAAATCTAACTAAATGTTAATCGTCAAAATAAAATGTGTAACTTTCAATTATGTTGTTATTACAAATTACAGTAAGTAGCCCATGATATGGCACAGAAAACAATGATACGATAAATCTCCCCCTTTGGAGATTTTGAAAATTGACACCTATGATTAAGGGTAAAAATCTCTTGAATGGCAAACCACCAACCTTCTGTAAGTATCTCAGTCTATTAAATAACAAATTTGAGACTATGATGCACATATATTGGGACACAGCATATTTCTAATATTCATTATATATCTAATCAAAAATCAAATGAATGAAAATGCTTTTTTTTAACCATTAACCTTACCCAAGCCATGATGGATCCTTCACAGAATTGATGTCTGGATCCTCATTATAATCTACTACATAACTTGGTTTATCTTTCATCGAGACAAGATTTGAAGTGTAGAAGTTCAAACCAAAGAAATCTGAGGTGCCTGAAACAAACCTTAACAAATAAATAACAGAAAATAGTTGATAAAATAATTAACTTCTAATGCACTGATTGTTGTGCTAAGCATACCTTCCCTCGTAATTCAAAGTTTTTGTAAAGAGGAAAAAAGTGCATGTCTTACAGATCTAAAAACCATTCACATGTTTCAAATCATCACTGCCAAGCTGCTGACTAAATATGAAGTCATTGTATTTGGTAATACTGGAAAAATGTGTGTTAAAAAATTTAAAGTTCATTTAAAATATTGAAAAAAATTCAGATTTGGCAAAAAGGAAGCATGTTAGTCTGACAGATCCCAAAAGTGTTCATATATAAACAACTATCACTTAGCCAAGCTGATGACCAAATATAGAGTCGTACTGCTCAGTTGTTTTCTTTGTTGATAAATTTCTAAAGAATTTAAAAACTAAGGTTCCATTTCCCTCATTTGAAGTTGACTGTAGATGAATTTGGTAATCCTTTTATGTCCTTTTGGTCATATAATTCCTCACATTTTCAGGTCTTATACATCCTTGGCTTTAATGTTTTTGGCATTCCGTATGAAGACCTTGTACCTGGTGATGCAAATATTTGTTGGACGTATGGAAGGATGGATGGTGGGTTAAGGGGAATGCAATATGGTAGAACAATATATTTACTGTCAAATTCAAATATACTTGCATGTATTTATTATTGTTATTGTTGAACAATGAACAAAAATATTATATTAATCTTTACGATTTTCGGAAATGCCAAATACAATCAATGCTATCAAAGTTTGAAATGAGAGTTTATTTTTGCAAAACCTATATCAAAATTTTCAAAATGATAAATACATCACATAAATTTCTAAATTTAGAGTACTTGTTTTTCTTGTACCTTTCTTATTTTTGAGGATGTCTGGCAAACTGGATACCTTACACAAAGAATTATTGAAGTCTACCTACTATGTCTACAACCAATTAAAATACAATTGACAATTTTATTATTAATGACACTATAAATAGTTGTCATTCTTGTATTCACTACAAACTTTGGTATCACTTTGAACTTTTATATAATGAGAACTTTCAAATGTTACAGGAATTCAGCACTTCAAGATAAAAGCTTTACCTCTGATAATCAGGACAGCTCAATAAATCATGCTGTAGGATTGAAACATGAATAGGTTAGAAAAATTACATTTTATGGACCTCTAATTTTTCTATTTAAAAGACTAGTTGGAGATTTGATTGAATAATGACTACAAATGTCAAGCAATTCAAGTAGTGTCTGTATAACTGAAATTTTATGAATAAATATAGGAATTCAAAAATGATTATGTGTTACCTTTTATATATCTTTTTTCGTAATCACTGAATGCTGGCAGACGACTTGTATTGTAATTTTGATGTATACTCTTATTAGCAATCTTGACCTTCATGGCCTCTGGATAGTCCCCATTCAAATAGACTGGATTTGCATACTGTCCTAGCCAAAACTGGTTCCCTAGTTCTGAGGCTTCAAGGTCGTCTGGATTATTTTTGTCCTTTGGTTCATGCCAATCAAAGTTCAATGTTATTCCAATTTTACCTGATAATACCAGAATTGTTATGGAATAAATAAACATTAACATGATTAAAGATATGCATTTTTCCTTTCAAAGGACAAAACAATAGTATTTGACATATCTTGCCTAGAAAATATAGAATAAAAGCATAAAAGTTGATCCCTAACAAAATTCACAAACCAACTTATACCTTAAACAATTAATTATAAGACTTCTCCACAAAACATGACTCCTTTAAAATGTCATACAGTTATATACAATGAATAACAGTATCAGTTAATGGAAAGAAAGTCATCAGGCATGTTTTACCTAATGAAGTATTTGAATTTCAAAATATAAATTTGCTTAAAGATAATGATAGAAATAAAAAAAGATCCCTCAATAAATGTCTTTAATCACTTATCAAAAGCCCCCTTTATTTCCCCTAAAGAAAAAAGAGGATTCTCCCCCTTAAACACTGGTTGGTTATTTTCAGCTAAGTATTTCACAAATGACTGTGAACGTATTTCTTATAATGCTTTGTGTCTTACTGAACAATATTACCTAATTTACTAATTTATATCATTACTGGCTTTGATTGCAGAGTTAAATTTATAGACAGAGCACTTTAAAAATGTATATCTTAAAATTTTCAAATGTGTCTAAGTTTTACTTTGTTCAAGGTAGGAATTTTATCACAAACTTTACCAAACATGAACATTTCATTGTCCATTTAAATGAACTGTACCAAGTTATAAAACACAAATAATGTACACAGCCAAGATTTAACTGCATAATCTAAAGCCAAAACCGTGAACATGACATGAAAATAACCCGACATACATTATCCCAATCCTTCAGGAGAACCTTATTTCAATTCCAGGTCTGATGCAAGTTTTGAACCCAAAAGGAATTTTTAAGTTTTCAATTCTGAGTTTATATCCATACATACTTTCAACCCCACCACATTTTATATGGGCCTGTCCTAAGTCAGGAGTCTGTAGTTCAGTGGTTGTTGTTGGTTCATGTCTGTCATATTTGTTTTTCATAAATTGTTTTGTTATAAATTAGGTCATTTGTTTTCTCAATTGAATTGTTTCCTATTTTTCATGTTTGGGACTTTTATAGCCAACTATACGGTATAGATTTTTTCATTGTTGAAGGCCGTAAGGTTGCCTTTAATTACTTACATCCACTTCATTTGAACTTTTGTGGATAGTTGTCTCATTAGCAATCATACCACATCTCAGAATTTGAACTTGAAAAGTATCATTTTCCTTCCAAATTGTCTTGTACTTCGAACTTCAACACATCAGAGTTAAATCGTGAGCTTTTTTTTCTTTAAGGGACTTAGATATATAACCAAGATTTCGAATCCAGCAAGTCATCAGAGTTAGAAAGGCTTTTGACAAACAGGAATTTTATGGGACTGACAAAATACCTAGAATTATCTGATTTTTTCAACATAACCCAGTTCAACAAAACAAGGTTCTACTGTACCGTAATCGGCCTTATATAGTTCACACTGGTACATTGTCAACACCCCCCTTCTTGTCACAATAATTCAGGTAAAAAACCTTTTTGTAACTGGTCGAAAATGTCTTATGAAACTCCGGTAATTTCAAATCGTGTGTGATCGTTTGCAGTATTTTCATGGAAAAACCCTTTTTCCATCATTGAGTTAAAGTTAAAATGCTTGTAATTGGTTCTATGACACTTCACGAGTGTTAAAATAAGTCAAAATCACAAAAAAAAAAACAATTGAGGAACTTGTGTTCGTTTTAACCGGAAGTTCGAATAGCACATGTCAATTGGAAAAAAAATATGGTGAGATTGTACGGAAAATAGTTAATAGATATAGAATACTACTTTTAAAGTAAAACAGTTCCATGCTTAAGTTAAATAATGTTTAACATATCCATCACATTAACGAAACACATGCATCAGTATGAAACACCAAAATGAAACGAATAACCAATTACATTTTGTAGTTTATACATCGTTATGCATAAGCTGGTTCCCAGCTTACTTACACACTTTTTTTGTTCCGTTAAATTCAAGCGGATGGCAGTTTATTTTATGCATGTAGTGAAAAGAAACGAGAAATTTGTAATGCAGCATTTAATTTTGAAATTTATTAGTTAATATTAGATTTTGAATAAAAATTGCATATTAATATGGATTAGGTAAATTATTAGTTTTGAAAATGATAAGAGTGCCCTCTACAATTTCAATAACAAACATGGCGGAATGTAAACAAACCTTGTGAAATTGAGATTTTCTCTTTTTTCTTGCTTATCGTACTCTATAATCTTCACCCCTGTATGACAGGTTCAATTTTGGAGAATAAAACCGTGGACTATACAAGCCTGAATTCGGTACTACAAATAAAGCTTAAAACATATGGCATTACAGTGCAGGTACCTTTCTGAAGAGATCTGAATTCCTCATCATAGATATGGTAAGCTCTGGCATGGGCCTTGATAAGATTATGAGCTGCCTGATACATAAAAGTTCCCGGTCCTATAATGCCTGGAGCCATGTGCCCATCACCATAACCTTGTGTAGCTACAACACGAGGCTCATTTAATGTAATCCAGAATTTTACCTGAAAAATTAAAGGAACACTTTCAAAACCTTCAAAAATGGAAATATCTGTGTATGTTTTTTTAAATATTATATATAAATAAGCAGTATTTTTTGTGTTCTTGAAAGTATCAATCTAAAAATCTTAAATGAAAAAATTAATTTGCGTTTGACATAAAAATATTTTCCCGCAAAAACAAAGAATAAGGCAGTATTTCTAGGGGAAAAAGTCATGTTCTTGGCACATTCAGAACTTCAAAATGCACAACTGAATAAGGTTTAATGCAAGTCTGTTTGTCCTATTCAATTGTTTAATGTAGGAAATTTTGAGATCAAAGATTATTTCCATGAGAACAAGATCAATGTAGGATCTGGACCTGTGTCGTTGCATGCAATTCATTGAGGTTACATGTATACTGAGGCATAACTGATCATTCAATTCTATAGAAGACAAGAAAAGTTTGATAAAATTTTTCCTTGCATAACAAGTGATGAAAAATTTCAAACTATCGTCGAACAGGAAGTGGTTATACAACAGATGTAAAAATTGTTACCATCCCACAACTCAACATTATCAAGCTCTTGACCAAATATAAAATCATTCCCTTCTATAAGCTTATAAGCTAGATGAAAATTTTCCTTGTATAGTGAGTCCTGTAAAATTTATAAATTATCGACAAACAAGAAGTGGCTGCACAGCTTATGTAAAAATTGCTTACACTGTACAACTCATCATTATCAAGCTGCAGACCAAATATAAAATTATTCCCTATCATAGAAGTCAAGAAAAGCTTGACAAAAATTTGTGTACCAAAGAAAGACGGAGTGGAGTGGTTATTAAACCTGCTTTCACCTTTAGCACGCAGGTAAAAAGATTATATATGAAAAAGCAAAGGGGATTAACTCATTGTTTTGCACAACTAGGATGTATTTAGAAATGTTGTCAAATTATGTTAAATTTGTTGAAAATAGCAAAAATTAGGCATTCACAACTTTAGACAGATAGATTTTGTTAAGTTATTAATTTTTTTTTCAATTTTTACCAAATATGTGTTTTTTAAGCCCCACTGGCAAAGCTGACCTTTGATGGTAGTCTAGCTATTTCTTCTATGTATCTTTTGATAACAAAGTTTAATAAGTATTTTATACATCTTGTGCTTTCAAAATTTAAACTCTAGTATTTCTGCATAAAGTTTAATACAAGAAGGCACTTCAAATACATCAAGTTTAGAATATTTGATTTTTATCCAAATAACAGCAATTCTTCTAAAGCTATGATCTTATGTTTCACAATACATAGAGTCTAAAACAATGATTTGAAACTAAATTCCATTGCATTGTAAACCAAGAGATTGTGTAACCAAAAACTTTTGTGAAAGTAAGAACCACCAAGAATGTGTCCATAGTACACGGATGCCCCACTATCATTTTCCATGTTCAGTGGACCGTGAAATTGGGGTCAAAACTCTAATTTGGCATTAAAATTAGAAAGATCATATCATAGGGAACATGTGTACTAAGTTTCAAGTTGATTGGACTTCAACTTCATCAAAAACTACCTTGACCAAAAACTTTAACCTAAAGCGGGACAGACAGACGAACGGACAGACAAACGAACGAACGGACGCTCAGACTGAAAAACATAATGCCCCTCTACTATCGTAGGTGGGGCATAAAAACATGATCTCCTCTAGCATGTCCAGGAGAGGACAAACCAAGATGTACTGTTAGCTATTGCTCCCTTTGTATATACCAGCAAACAGGAAGTGTAATTTCAAAGGAAAACAATAAAGAGGTATGGCATAACCAGATGAAGGTTGGTGTCACTGTGTTTCTGAGGTAAATGCCAAATATATGTTACAGACTGATGGATACACAGGACAGATGGACAGAGGTTAACCAGTATACATATTTTTGGAGTGGGAGCCTATTTATTTTAAGAAATAAATCAACAGATAAGAAAGGTTTGAATTTGCTAAGCTACAATTTATTATCTCAAAATTGAAAATGTAGACTTGTTGGAAAATTATACAGATTTTAATATTAAACATTATGAAAATGCCATGTTCTTTTTGCATTTATTTACATTTTCTCCTGTGGAGATTAATTGCTGCATATATATGAATCATTTTTTTGTTGTTGAAGTTGGTACATATAAAAACTCTAGCAATGAAATATGGGAGATTCTACAAATATTTCCTGATTTACATTGCAAATATTTCTGGTTACATTTTTTCCAGTTTGTAGATCCACCTACCCTATCTCCAAATTCTCTGAAGCATATCCTAGCATATTCTCCAAACAAGTCCTGCATACTGTCACTCAGCCAGCCATTATACTTGTCCTGTAAAGCCTGTGGCAGGTCCCAGTGATATAATGTCACCATTGGTGTGATTCCTGCTGCAAGAAGACCGTCTATTAGGTTGTTGTAGTACTGAATACCAAGTTTGTTTATTGTTTTTGTGGTGCCATCTGGTAAAATTCTTGGCCAAGAGATTGAGAGTCTGTAATGAGTGACCTAAAATTGGAATGTAACATTGATTATTATGATAGCAATTTTAATCCATCTTGATTATTACCGGTATATATTTATTCTTGTCCTTATATTTTTTTAATAAAATGCTTCGCTGGGGCGCAGCTTGATACGACCGCAGAGGTCGAACCCTGAACAGTTGGGGCAAGTATGGACACAACATTCAAGCTTGATACAGCTCTGAATTTGGATTGTTATTAAATATTTGACACAGCATAGGTTTCTGACACAGAAAGAATGTGGTCTAAGAACTTGAATTTTTTTAATTTACCTATTATGGTCCAATGTCCAAAATCAAAATACATGGTTAGATTCAGCATATCAAAGAATCCAAAGAATTCAATTTTTGATGAAATCAAACAAATTTTAATTTTGGACCCTTTTGACCTCAATATGAACCAATTTGATGACGGGGCCCAAAAATCAAAATACATGGTTAGATTCAGCTTATCAAAGAATCCAAAGAATTCAATTTTTGATGAAATCAAACAAAGTTTAATTTTGGACCCTTTCGACCTCAATGTGGACCAATTTGATGACGGGGCCCAAAAATCAAAATACATGGTTAGATTCAGCATATCAAAGAATCCAAAGAATTCAATTTTTGATGAAATCAAACAAAGTTTAATTTTGGACCCTTTTGACCTCAATATGAACCAATTTGATAGCGGGGCCCACAAATAAAAAATCTAAATTCATGGTTAGATTCAGCATATCAAAGAACCCCATATATTGAATTTTTGTTGAAATAAAAAAAAGTTTAATTTTGGACCCCAACTTGGACAAACTTGAAAACTGGGCCCATAATCAAAAATCTAAACACATGTTTAGATTCAGCATATCAAAGAACCCCAAGAATTCAATTTTTGCTAAAATCAAACTAAGTTTAATTTTGGACCCTTTGGACCTTAATGTAGACCAATTTAAAAGACGGGACTTAAAATTAAAAATCTAAATACACGGTTAGATTTGGAATATCAAAGAACCCCAATAATTCAATTTTTGATGAAATCAAACAAAGTTTAATTTGGTCCCTTTTGACCTCAATATGAACCAATTTGATAGCGGGTCCCACAAATAAAAAATCTAAATACATGGTTAGATTCAGCATATCAAAGAACCTCATATATTCAATTTTTGTTGAAATCAAACAAAGTTTAATTTTGGACCCCAATTTGGACCAACTTGAAAACTGGGCCCATAATCAAAAATCTAAATACATGTTTAGATTCAGCATATCAAAGAACCCCATATATTCAATTTTTGTTGAAATCAAACAAAGTTTAAATACTGGACCCTATCTTGGACCAACTTGAAAACTGGGCCAATAATCAAAAATCTAAACACATGTTTAGATTCAGCATATCAAAGAACCCCAAGAATTCAATTTTTGTTAAAATCAAACTAAGTTTAATTTTGGACCCTTTGGACCTTAATGTAGACCAAATTAAAAAACGGGACCCAAAATTAAAAATCTAAATACACGGTTAGATTTGTAATATCAAAGAACCCCAATAATTCAATTTTAGATGAAATCAAACAAAGTTTAATTTTGGACCCTTTTGACCTCAATATGAACCAATTTGATAGCAGGGCCCACAAATAAAAAATCTAAATACATGGTTAGATTCAGCATATCAAAGAACCCCATATATTCAATTTTTGTTGAAATCAAACAAAGTTTAATTTTGGACCCCAATTTTGACCAACTTGAAAACAGGGCCAAAAATCAAAAATCTAAATACATGTTTAGATTCAGCATATCAAAGAACCTCATATATTCAATTTTTGCTAAATTCAAACAAAGTTTAATTTTGGACCCTTTGGACCTTAATGTAGACCAATTTGAAAACTGGACCCAAAATTAAAAATCTAAATACACTGTTAGATTCGGCATAACAAATATATAAATGTGATCAAAGATTTTACAAATCTAATGCGCCATGCTGTGCAATTAAAGATTACTTCTTGAAATTTTTCAATATTTGAAATTTGAAAAAAAAATAATATTTGAAGAATAATTCTTTTTAATTTCTGAAATCTGAAATGAGAAAAAATTGACCCCCCACAATTTTTTTTTATCCCCCCCCCCCACCTTTTTTCCCCCAAAAAATTCTTTCCCTCAAGATATGGTCATAATCTCAATTCAAATTTCCAATGGAGTTGGCAACCATAATTACCCATTTAAATTTACCATAGTGCTAACTTAATCTATTTTATAATAGAATTAAAAATATAGTGTCAAATCTTTTATATGGATTTTTTTGTAAAAAAAAAAGATGCAACATTTGCAGATATTTTTACTGGTCTTCCTTTATAAATATGCATTTCTTTAAACATAATTTAAAAGCAGTGTAAGGGAAGTAACCAAAGCGTTGTATTTGGATTACCTCCCTTACACTGTTTTAAATTATCTTTATTGTTCATTAACCATTACTTTATACATAATTTAAAAGCAGTGTAAGGGAGATAATTTCAATGATGTATTTGATTTATCTCCCTTACACTGCTTTAAATTATGTTTTGTACTAAAGTATTTGTCCATTAACCAGGACAACCTTGTTTTTCCCCCTTTTTTGCCCTTAATTCCTAAACGGTTTGAGCCATAACCCCCCCAAAGCAAATCCTAACCATCCCTTTGTGGTATGGAAACTTGTAGTATAATTTCAGAGAGATCCATACACTGTTGCACAGTTATTGTCTGGAAACTAGAAAATGCTTATTTTTGGCCCCTTTTTGGCCCCTAATTCCTTAACTGTTGGTACCATAACCCCCAAAATCAATCCCAACCTTCCTTTTGTGGTATTTAACCTTATGGTCAAATTTCAAAAAGATCCATTCACTTAAACTAAAGTTAGAGTGCGAAAACCAATGTGTCTTCGGACGACGACGACGACGACGACGACGCCGGACGACGACGACGACGACGACGACGACGCCAACGTCATACCAATATACGACCACAAAATTTTTTTGCGGTCGTATAAAAACTAAGCTGATACTTTGGTTTATATAGGATGAATTAAAAGAGATACTATGTCAATGTCAATATATCTTTTTCAGAAATTTTACGAAGAAAAGACTGATACATATTCATGAAATAGTTTCAGAATTGGCTTTTCTTTGATGTTTTATCTACATACATTGTGATCCTAAACAGTCTGATATTTATTTTGTAATATTTAAAATCATAAATAGGTATAAACAAATATCAAGTTTAATGTTCAAATTTCTGAGAAAAATTAGGCAAAAATGCCTTTATCGATCCCTGTTTGTGTCCAATAAAAGTTTACAAACCTTCATATCTTTCATTAACTTGATATCATCATGATATTTATGATAGCTATCACAAGCTACGTCTCCTGTAGCATTGTTTTCTATTTTACCATTGTGTGAATGAGTATCCCATATACTTGGTCCTTTACCTAAAATAAAGCATATGCTATTGTGAGATACTCAGTGCAAGAAATGCTAAAAGATATTCTCACTTGATTTATCCTTTTCCTGACCTGTTGACTATATTTATTTAATCAACGTGTTTCATTTGATCTCAGTTCTTCATTGGTTAAAATTTGATTATGACTTCAAATTTTCTTGCTTTCCTCTGAAATTCCTATTGTGACGTCATGAAAAAAGGCAACCATGCCTGATGACGTCACGTAGAAAGAACACATCTTTTTGCAGGTCGTTCGAAAAGAAGGATAAGATTGTCTGGATATCGTCTAAAAACCATTAGAGAAACAGATTCCACCACTAAATCTCATGCAATACGATATTTATCCACTCTTGACAGTTAAATTTTAAATATTTAAAACGGTCGGCAAGCCTCATTTTTTAAATTTGAAAATTTAACTGTCTCGAGTGGATAAATATCGTATCACACTCGATGCAGTGGTAGAATCAATATTAACATGGCTTATTTGACACTGTTGTATTGGCAAACAATTACCATTATGTAGTAAACAGCATCACAGTATAGACCTTCTATATGGTCAACCTTATGTCACAGTAAACATTGTAAAGACCATATAGCAAAATTTTGGGTAAATTGTTAATTGGAAAATGAGATAACCAGCTGATGGCCTGTATCTTACCTTAAGAGACTGACAGCATATTTTAATTGATTTGGTTCAACCTCATAGTCTCCTGCACTCAAGGTAAGTTTCAACAAGTGAGGTACTGATACATGTAAAATCAAGTTGATATCAAAATAAAGTTCCTGACAATGGCTTTGTTTGCTTAATTGACAGTTTCGGATAATTAAAGTGAATTATTTTCTTTGACGTCATTTGAGTTGTTACACTGGGCCATTAACTGTATAGCAGAAACTACACCCTATCGATTTGATGAAGATAAGTCTCAAATTGATTTAAAGGAAACAACCACAAACTTGATTTTGTTTGAATATGTCCTTCTACATAATGAAAAAGAACACACAAAGTTTCCATCATGTTTTGCCAGGCCAATTTTTTATATAAAAGTTTACCAGGGATGATTCAGATAAAAGGACTATTGAAGCACAAAGTTCAACTTTGATGTAATAAAAAAGCTTTAGCTTGAAATTAACAGTCACTTTACCATCTAAATTCCAAGCTCCTTCTACTTGGTAAGCAGCTGTGGCTGAACTCCAGGCAAAATCATCAGGGAAAGTTCCATAATAGAAATCATCCATCATTGGTAGACTGTTAGGGTCTCTTGGACGTGAGATTGTAGTATATGGAGGTCTATCATCAGGTCTGAAGAAGCCATTATCTATTATCAAATCTCTAAAAAATCTAGCAGATGCTTTTGGTGTTCTTGGTCTCTCTGGGTCACTGTAGTTGATATAATGAAGTCCAAATCTCTCTGAATAACCTTGCAACCATTCAAAGTTATCCATTAAGGACCATGCAGTATACCCTCTAACATCCACATCATCCAATCGGATTGCTAAAATAAAAATTAGAAAAACTGTTCTTCCAACATTCAGTCAACAGGTAATGCTACTGTACAATGGACCAATTGTGGGGGATTGTAGAAATTTCATTGTTTTTATGTTATGATTGCTATAGACGTAATTAACAAGAACACTAAGACTTTGTTACATAATTTAAACATGGAGGTTGAATTTCTAAATTAGTCCTGGCATAAAGTTTGTGACTAGAAATTCTTATAAAAGAATTGATAGATAAAATTTGAAAAAGTCAATATATCTGGTAAAATCTATATAGAACAATACATTATGTAAAAATTACAGAACAATTAAATACAAAAGACTAATTATCACAAGATCTGCTCTAGATTCATGCTTTTGTTTGACAGCTGTTTTCCATTCATTTGATGTGTCTGAGCTTTTGATTTTGTCATTTGATAAAGGACTTTCCAATTTGAATTTTCCTTGAAGTTCAGTATTTTTGTTATTTTACTTTGTAATATATTGAATTATGGTTTGATAATTATGGAATTCCAAATCATATAAAATTTGTAAAAATTGAAAAAGATTTTTCATGGAGGAAAAAAGGCATTGTGAATCAAAAAGGTGTACTAAAATACATGTGAAATTTTATAAAGTTGAACAACATGCAAGATAGAAATTATAGCCTTATATATTGATAGTTCTACCAACACCAAAAGAAAAAGTTGCTCATTCACTAACTTTCTAAAATGAGATAAGACTGGCCCTGGGTATAAAACAAAAGTTCGCATTTGATTTATAATCAATATGTCTAAAATTTGAACAACAAAGGGACTGAATATTTATAGGAATTGAAATCCCATAAAATAGTAAGAAATCAACGATATATCAAATATGTCTTAATACCTTTCAGGACATTATTTATGTAATGTTTATAAAAATATATTCTGTGATCATCTTGAAGACTGCCATTTTTGTCTGACACTCCATTTTCAGTGATATAAATAGGAGCATTGCCATACTTGTTCCTGATCCAGGTCAAAGCTTTCCTTAGACCCCAAGGAGTGAACTTCAACCATGAAGATCCAGATCTAAAATAAACATGAAAATCTTGTATTCCTTCTAATTTCCCTTCATTCCTAATGTGCAAGCTCACTCAAAATAGTTAAATTATGTTTCAATGCTTTAATCCTAACATCACCCTTCTTTTAAATAAATACTTTTGATTCATTTATTGTGAAAGAAATGAAACTTTTCCACAGAATCACTTTCTCTTGGTCAAGGTATTTAAACTTTTGTAAGTTTACTTGTCCCATTGTATAAATACAATAGCTATTGTTCTCTGTGTAGTTTATTCACTGGGGCCTTTAAATTTCTTCTAAGAGAAATCCACCACTCATTGATTAATTTACCTAAAGAAAAAATTCTCTTCTAAGTAGATGAAAATACATGTATCAACTCACAAAACTGCATGTGATGTTGTATTTACTCAATATCAATAATAAATTTTCAATCTGTTCAATATAAACACTGATTCAAATATTAAAAGATAATTTCTGACAAGATTTTCAACATTGCTCCTATTGAAATTTGTTTTTTGTGTGTTTGACAAATACAAACTGGAAAATGACAATGTTTAGATCAAGGCCTTCTTAAATGTTTTTTATGACTAAACAAACACAAAAAAAAACGCAAATTTCAATTGGAACAATGCAAAAAAATTGTCAGATATCAGCTTTTTATGATTTTATTTTTATAGACAAAAATCTATGTTGCTTTGTTGATCTTGTATTGCTGATAATTATTTTCTATTTACAGTTTATCTCTATCTTTTTTAGTCTTGCTCAAAACACAAAAAAGGTAAAAAAAAATCATCATTTAAGGGAAATCACTCCTACAAAGGGTCTACTAATAATTGCAGCAAAACTTGACTTAATTGTAGATCTTGATAATTGCTGATAATTTTTGCTATTCAAAGTGTCTATCTGTCTTTTATAGTTTTCAAGATAATAAGCAAAAACGCTAAACATTGGTAAAAATCATCATTACAGATCAAGAACTCCAATAAGGAGCCATCTGACAATTTCTGCTTTGTACACTTATTTGTAGGGTTGTCTTGCTGATCATTTTGCTATTTAAAGTTTCTATCCATCTATTATAGTTTTTAAGATACTGGAAAAAATTGTCATTTAAGGGCAACAACTCCAAGAAGTAGTCTTCTGACAATCTAGATGTAAATAGACAGCAGGTAGATCTCAACATTCTGTACATTTCTGCTACTGTCCTATTTTCACTTTTCATAGAGGTTTTCGAGATAATAGACAAAACTTTTACCCCTATGCTCTATTTATAGCCATGACAGCCGTGTTGGTTGGCAGGCAGGGACATTCAACACATTTTTAAACTAGATGCAATGATGATTGTGGCCAAGTTTGATTACATTTGGCCTAGTAGTTTCTGAGGAGACGATCTTAATGGACGACGACAACAGACGTCAAGTGATGGCAAAAGCTAAGACAGGCCCTTTGGGCCAGGTGAGCTAAAAACTGAAAATTAATATAATTAAGATAACCTACGATAATGCATTAGTCACCTGTAATGACATGGATTGTGTGAACAAGTCATGTAATCACTTGAAAATGTGTGTATTATACAGGAAAAGCATGTGAGTTCGCCACTATGGCAAGTAATCTAATTTGTTCATTTCCTTATATTCTGTATATATATATTAAAATACAATGTTTTGGCATTGACTCTTTGAAGTAGATTACATTTTTCATCAATGAGCTATGTAAATGAACTAGTATAATTATTTATCACATAAGACCACAATAAAACATACCCTAGCCATGATGGGTCCTTTGTAAATGTCAAATCTGTGTCATCATAGTAGTTTATATCATAGGTTGGATTAGCCTTATGTGTGACCACATTGGATGTATAAAAGTTCAGTCCTATGAAGTCAGCTGTGCCTATCAATAACAATAAAATTAAACATGTTTGAATTTTATTTACTAAACAAGGACTTTAGCAGTGTTTATTAGTTTTAAGAGGTTGAACTACTTTCATATCTATAAGCTTCCTGTGTTGTATGATTTTGTAGCCTCAATTAAAACCGATGTCAACTTTATGCTTCATATTTCAGATAAGCATTATAAAGTTCATAACAAATGAAAAGTGGATACAGCTTGATGTCTCCGTGAATTTATATTTCTTTTTGGGAATCTTAAGAAATCTACCTTTTATGAAGCTTTTCTCATAGTTGCTAAAACTTGGAAGGCGGCTTTCTTTCAAATTCTGGTGGCGACTATGGCTTCCAATTTTGTCCCTCATCACCTTTGGATAATCTCCTGTTAGGAATATTGGATCCCCAAACCATCCAAAGAAGAAGTCATTTCCAATTTCTGAGGCTTCCAAGTCACTGGGGTCAGACCTGTTCTTTGGTTCATGCCAATCAAAGTTCATTGTGACCCCGATCTTTCCTAACAAGAAAATAATTTAACAGTCAAAATAAAACTATTATAAGGGTATTTCTTAATAAAATGTACTGACAAAATACTACAACCTGAAAAAAAAATTGTTCTATCTTGAATAACTTTGAAACATCTTCAATGAGTTTATGCGTTGTTACTGTTGCATGTATATCAGCACAATTGTTTTCTGATACCATAAGATGGTGTTTGGCAGACTAGAAATTGATATTTCCTTCCTGAATTCTATTGAGTATGCTAGAATGTATTTTTTTCCCTAGTTCATAGGTGACCGTATATAACTCTTGAAGGAGAAAACTCTTCTTATTCAATAAAATAATTCATAACATTGTGAATTCAAAGCATCTTACCAAAAGTGAAGCTTGAAAAGTTCTAATTCAAAACTAAGAGAATTATGGAGCAAAAGGTTAGATGAACCCTGCCAGACAGACATGAACACCTTATAATCATTCCATAAACCAAAAATAGTTGACCTATTGCTTATAGTATCTGATAAATTGACAAAAATATGAAAACTTTACATTTATTAGTGAACCATGAAATAAAGGTCAAGGTCATACGAAACCTGCCAAACAGACATGAACACCTTACAATCATTCAATACACCAAATATAGTGACCCTATTGTTTATAGTACCTGAGAAATAGACCAAAACACAAAAACTAAACTTTGTTTAATGAACTATGAAATACCCCAAATATAGTTGACCTATTGCTTATAGTTTCTGAGATACAGACTTGACCACCAAACTTTAACCTTGATCAATGATCCATGAAATGGAGGTCAGGTGAACCTTATCTGAAGGACATATAGACGTTGCAAGGAACCCATATATCAAATATATTTATCCTATTACTCATTACTTAAATAAGTGAAAAATTCACTTGACAAAAAAACTATAATTTTTTTTCAAGCAGTCGCTGAACCAGTTAAATGAGGTCAAGGACAATGGACATATGACAGACGGAAACTTCGTAACATAAGGTATCTGCATACAAGGTATGAAGCATCAAGGTCTTCTACCTTCTGAAATATAAAGCTTTATACAAATAGTTTACACCGTCGCCAGATTGTAATCCCTAATCTCACATTCTGCAACCAGGCGACAACAAAAAGCACAAGAAAATAACACTGAATATAATATTCTTTGCCTGAATTTCAATACCTTGTTGTTTTGCTCTAAATTCTTCATGATATATATGGTAAGCTTTAGCATGTCCTTTTATCAAGTTGTGAGCAGCAATGTATGTTGTTGTCCCAGGGCCTGGTATTCCGGGAGCTTTACCCCCATTTCCATATCCTTGTGTTGATACTACCCATGGCTCATTCAGCGTAATCCATAACTTCACCTTAAAGACAAAGAGAAAAAAAACTGTTGACACGGAGATATGTCTTGCCTGTATGTCATTTTGATAGTGAAATCAAAATGGCAATACTTTAATATGAAAACTATGCAAAAGTTTCAAAGTCAATGAACCATGACTGAGGAGGCAAGACCAAATATTATCCTTGAAAATAATATGTGCCAATGCTATACTATTACAACTGCATACCAAATATCATTGATTACCATTAGTGGTTCATCTTAAACTGACCTTATCACAAACTTGATCATGTAAACTATGCAAAGGTCAATGAACCATAAGTTACAGAGCCAAAAAATCTGTGTTAATATGCTGTTCCCCTTAAACTGACCTAACCTTATCACAAACTTATAATTCTAACTTTGCAAAAGTTTCTAAGTCAACATACCATGCATGACTGAGGTGGCAAAGCCAAATAATCTCCATGGAAATGAGATGTGTCAATGGTAATACAACTGTATACCAAATATCATTGTCTAACCATTAGTGGTTCCCCTAAAACTGACCTAATTGCAAAATTTAAAGTTTAAACTAAACATAAGTTTCAAAGTTGATAGACCGTGAATGAGGAGGCAGGGCTAAATTATCTCCATGGAAATGTGATTTGTCAATGTTAATACGACTGCATACCAAATATCATTGACTTATCATTAGTGGTTCCCCTTAAACGGACCTTATAAAAAAAAACTTTAACAAATTGTTGATGTCACCAAGACCTAGGAGTGAACTCAGAATCTCCAGAAGGGTAAACAGTTCCTGCTCCACATGTGACACCTGTCTTGTTGCTCATGCAAGTACAAATCTGGTGATAAGTCTCATTTGGTCGGTGATGTCACAACTGAGGAAAGAGAACAGGATTGTGGTTACAGCAATTGGAACATATCCGTGGTCATCTGTGACACAAATATTCCATTACAGTCTACCAACTCCTGATGGAATCTGTAAAACTTTTTTTTATTTCTCAAATTTTAACCTGCAACATGTAAGTTCTTTTTAACCCACTGATATAGAGAAAGTGCAATCTATATCATTAATGCTGTTAACAACATACTTACCCTATCACCAAACTCCCTAAAACAAATTCTTGCATACTCAGCAAACAAATCTGATGTGGTCTCATTCAGCCATCCACCATAATTGTCTTGTAGAGCTTGTGGTTCATCCCAATGGAATAAAGTGACCATTGGTTCAATCCCAGCATCCTTCAAACTGTCAATCAAGTTATTGTAGTATTTGATTCCTAATGGATTGATGTATTTTGTGGTTCCATCCGGTAATATTCTGGGCCAGGAAATAGAGAATCTGTAATGGGTTACCTGTAATATGGATATATATTGTAAAATCAGAAATGTGAAAACATCTGATAGGATGATCATTACAATAATAAACACCATATCTTAAATTGTGTCATCACTATTCTATTACAACATGTACAGCAACAGTATTAATCTAAATATCCTATATGAAAAGTGTTGTGTATATCAACTTGGTTACACATTCTAGTAGCAACTTATGATTTGATAACAGAACATTTTTCAAAGAAAATTAATAGAATGTAGAGTTTAAATGCTAATTTATAATAACCTAATCTGGACAATACAAATTTGAGTCTTGTTAAAACTTAGTCTATTAGTATATGGCTATTAATAATTCAATAATTTCATTGTGTAATGATCATAGCAGTTTTTATTCAAATCTTTCCTTACAATAAAAACAACAAGTTGCATTTGATTTTGTGTAAAGTATACCCCCTCCTTATTACACTTTGACAAAATGTTCCATGCTCAGTGGGTATAATCAAAACTCAAAGAATTGTCAATCAGGCAGTTTTAAAAGTCACATGGAACAACTCACTGTATAAAGCTCCTTACATAACATGACTATCAATGCATTTGAATGGGGACATATAGTTGGAACCCCCTTTATCCTGGGTTGGAAACCCCCCCCTTTTAAAAATGGATGGATCCGCCCCTGCAAAATGTCCTTAATATAGAGCTGAGTATTATGAAACTCAAGTTTTGGCAGACAAATAGACAAAAATTAAAATGGAAAAATGAACAGACTGAGACAGGCTGAATACAGTGTACCACCCACTCTGTGAGTTGGTGTATTATGATGTCAAAGGGCTTGTCTTTTTCTCAATGTTCAAATTTTATGCTGGTTAATTAGCAATGTTCACAAAGATTTAATGATTCCATTCAATCCATTTATTTCGCTCACCAAAATTAGACAGGAGCATTCCTGATGCAGTGGAGAAAAAAAAAATTCAAGACAAAATAAATCAAGTGCATGATTTTTTTTTTAAATTACCTTCATGTCCGACATAATCTTAATGTCCTCGTGATATTTATGGTAGCTGTCACATGCAACATCACCAGTATCATTGCCATATATTTTACCTTGATGAGAGTATGTGTCCCAGATACCCAATCCTTTACCTGTAATTAGAATGTATATCTTAAATATTTTAACTATTGCAGTATGATCAAATCAAAACTTGTGGTAATGTTTTATAATAATAATATTCAATATATCATCGCTACAATATGACAATTCAGATACACATGTACCAGTAAATGTTTTCAAGGGGAAACATAATTGTCATTGGCCAAACACAATAAAGGAACCAAATATAACATAAACAAGAATATGTCCATAGTACACGGATGCCCCACTCGCACTATCATTTTCTATGTTCAGTGGACCGTGAAATTGGAGTCAAAACTCTAATTTGGCATTAAAATTAGAAAGATCATTTCAAAGCGAACATGTGTACTAAGTTTATAGTTGATTGGACTTCAACTTCATCAAAAACTACCTTGACCAAAAACTTTAACCTGAAGCAGGACAAACAGACGGACGAACGGACGGACGAATGAACGGACGCACAGACCGAAAAACATAATGCCCCTAGGTGGGCATAAAAACATTGCTGACTGTGAAATAAATAAAATATGAAAGAAACAGTGTTTGAATTGCTGTTCTTCTTCTTGACATTAGATGATAAAGTAAAAAGTTCAAAAGCAAGATCAAGACAGTCCTGAACCTTCAATAACTGATAATCTCTGCTATTTATTGAAAAATGCTATTTAAGTCTTTGAAGAAGCATATGCTGGTATAATCAATAAATTATACATATGTAACTAGCAAAGGCTTCCAAGACAGAATCACAATGGCAAAAGATGCAAACCTGCTTCAAAAAATGGGTCAAAGTCTCAAATGGCCAGGTTGCATGACTAAATTTTACTAAAAAATGAGAAAGTTCCAAAGTCTAGAAAAAATCCTCAAACAATTCTATATTACCAAATGAAAAACTGCAACATATGTGTGATCTTCCTGTAAAGTTTCAGGGGTCTGGGTTGAAACTGTAGGAGGAGCTCAGTGTTCTCCCCAGAAATTTTTTAAGGCGCAAAATTTCCAGGGCGCGTAACTCTACTTTAGAGCTGTGAACTATTGTGACCTAAAGCAATCAGTCATAAATCATTACATGCAATAATGCACAGTATTAATATACATGATACATGCTGAACAGCTTCAGAAATATTTATTTCTGTACTCTCTGTTCCTTCTATAGTAACAAGACAGGTTGTAATTTTGTTGGACAGCCTGTTCCTCAGTCTTTATCTTCTTTAGGGTTGAAACCATTATCTGCCTTTCGCGTAACCCATTTCTTCTTTGCAAACAACATGTTGATTCAGCATTAAAATTGATTATGTTTAAGATGTTTGGTATACAGCTTTTTAAAACAAAAAAAATTGTAATAAACCAGCTGACCAGTGTCCGTAGTTTGACATTACGCTTCCGTGTGTATAATTGTCAAAACGTTTCTTTGGCAGGTAGATATAAACGAAACTTGACAAATTCGTCAAAGTTAAACTCAGTGAAATTCTTTACTAGTGACATTATACTAATGCTGCACGATTCTGTACATTATTTCCCGATGGACGAATTAATGATCAATGTTAAAAAATTATCTTATTTCTAAAACTAGACAGTTGATAGACGAATTTTACTTGCAAGCAACAATTTTTCACTTTTAAATAAAATAAATCACTCCTCGTTATCTTTAATAAAAGTTTATTTTACTTTCTGACGTACAAATACTCTCATTCATTAATTTCATCGTAAATTTCTTTAGTAATGTGTATTCAAATTTATCACGTGTATTCATCATGTTCATTGGTCGTGTTTAAATAGATTCTTCTTCTCGACCAATGAAAAAAATCGTTACTTAAATGGCCAAATATCGCACACAAACGTTGCGTAATTACAATGTATTTGCGATCTATTTCTTCAATTTTTGCACTTAAGTTTTTAAAAACTTTTATTTTCTACTTAAAATATCTATCTTCTTGATGATCATTTACGCTGTAACCTGATTACATGGTCTGATAAGGCTGGAACAGGTAAATCCGAGACTTTTGCTAGTTATCAGTTATTGCGCAACATTGACCGACCTCTCAGCGGTAATCAGCAACTTGCCAATTTTAACCAACATTTATAATTAAAATGTGAAAATTAACAAGCTGCGGGATCAAGTATTAAGGGACAGCGGCCAGTTAAGGTGCTGCGGGATCAACGAAAATATTTTGAAGGCGCTGCGGGACCGCAGCGTCATATCGGCCTGGGGAGAACACTGGAGCTGATTACACAAATTAGGTACCATTGCTTTTCCCTCACCTGCAGCCCTGCCCTTTATCACCATACTTGAAAACAGTTTTGGACTTTTTCCAACAATTCCAACCAAAGTGCTTGAGAGCACTGAAGGGTAAAGATTGCTTTCATTTTGCAAGTGTGTGAATTTAAAATAAAACACTGAATTGTATTTAGCTATGCAAACTATAAATTTGAGTTGGAGTAATCTTCCTTTGTTCATGATTGTACATAAATTTGTAGTTTAACCTATTTTTATCACAGATTCATACACCATGCATTTCTAATGTTATTTTCAATAAAGAAAATTCTTCCTGATAAGTATGGTAGTGCACATACAAATCATATTGTAACTTGAGTATCTAAGTATAACATAGTATAAATAAATTCTATGATGTCGGATAGGATCTAAAGAATGATCACTTTACTGCACTATTTCGTTTGAACTATGAAAGGTAGTGATAAACCTTGGAAGACTTAGATATCAAGTCAGTACCATAGGGTTTTGATTGCATTTCATGCAATCTTTACCCAAAAAGGCAAAAAGACTATGGCATTGAAAAATAAGGAAACAATTGCATTATATATCAAAAAATAACTGCAAACAAACAATAGCAATATAAATCTTTCCAATATAAAAACAAGAAGATGTGATATGATTGACAATGAGACAAATATCTATCAAATAGACCAATGACAAAATAAGAAAAAAAAAATACAGGTCACCAGAACTTCCTTCTAAAGGTAATTTAATAATCACAGATACCTGATAATGTAAATATTGACACGTATTAATGTAAAATTTCAAAATTTGATATGGCATTTTAGGGTCCTTAATACTATGTCAAAATTTTAAAAGTTATCTTATTTATATTTCATATCTATTTTACCATAAAGAAATATTAAAGAAAAAAATCACTTTTTCCCTAGATAATAAAACCATTACTCAGAGATAGAAGTGTCAAAATTTCAAAACTTCAACCTCCAGTTGTTGCCTATCAAACAAGTAAAAAGTTGGCAGTGCAAACAGATGCTCCCAAAAACTCCACATAGTTGTTGCCAATCAAACAAGTAAAAAGTTGGCACTGCAAACAGATGCTTCCCGAAACCCCACATTTATTCATAGACAAGAGGCTTCATAGAGCTTGAATGGCTCACCTGGAAATTTTTGTGCAGATCTTGCATCACTCATTTCTTTGCTGTTTAATGTATATTAATGCATGTTTAATCATGCCATTTTAAGTTTCTCTCTATCTATCATAGTTTCTGCAAAAAATTTTAATAAATTGAATATTCTAACCATAAGCTCATTTTTGTTAGACACCTGTTTTTGGGAATGATAGACATGGGTAAAAGTATACTTATTTGAAGGCACATAACCTCCTTACTTCGTACACAAACTGCACCATATAGCAGAATTGTAAAAAAAAAACAAATAGACCAAAGTGCTCAATGAACAAATATTGTATATCAGCACAATATACCTACCATCTTCATTCCATGCACCCTCTACTTGGTAGGAAGCTGTGGCAGAACTCCAAGCAAAGTCATCAGGAAAGGTACCATAGTAGAAATCATCAAACATAGGAAGATTGTTTGGATCTCTGTGGTCATGAACTGGTTCAAATGGAGCCCTGGGTATTTCAAAATTTGGGAAGAAACCATTTGTTTCTATCAACTGTCTGAAAAATCTTGAAGATGCCTTTGGTATCCTTTGTCTTTCTGGGTCTGTGAAGTTAACATAGTAAAGCCCAAATCTCTCTGTGGTAGCTCTGTTCCATTCAAAGTTATCCATTAATGACCATGCAGTGTAGCCCCTCACATCTACATCATCTATTCGTATTGCTAAATCAAATGAAAACTGATTATGATATATTTCTGTCCATTTACTTTGTAGACTTACCTTTGGTTATTTTATTTGTTCTTTTTCTTTAGTTGCATTGACACGTTTGGTTTTTATCTCATTTTACTTTTCTGAGGTGGAATCACTTGTAGATCATTTCCTTTAATTTTCTTTTCACATTAAAATTATATTTTTTCATTTCCTTTCATTGTCAAACAAGTTGTAGGTTGGTTCCTTTATTTTATTATTTCACTTAAGAATACATGCAAATTATGTAAGCATTTCATCAAATTTATTCTATACTTGACTCTACCTTTTAGCATACTATTAATGTAATGTTTAAAGTAGAATATTCTGTGATCATCTTCCAAACTTCCATTTCTGTCTGACACACCATTTTCTGTGATGTAGATAGGTACGTTTCCATAATGATTCTTGGCCCAATTTAAGGCTTTCCTTAATCCCCATGGTGTAAATTTCAACCAAGAAGATCCAGATCTACAAAGTTTCAACATTCAATCAAACCGTTGAGTTAAGAATGTCAACAAAACCATTTGTCCAATTCTTCCATCTAAAAACTGCACCAAGATCTTTATACAAGTTTCAAGAATACAGTTGGGTTTAGACCAAGAATAACATATGAACAGCCAGAAAAGTTAAGGCTACATTTACTCACATGCCCTTCGTGTAAACACCACCTTAAGTCTGCATCAACCTTAAAATTTTAGTAGACACAAAAAAGAATCTCATTTATTTTCACTTTTAGCTCTATTTTAACGTACGTGAGAAGGCGCATTTTCTAATTTTGTTAAAAGTAAAGGCACATTTCCTCTCTGTACTAAACGTGTGTTAACACAGTTTGTCATAGTATCCTGGATACATTGATTCATCACACATCACATGACCAATGAAGGTCATAATTCATTTTCTATGATAAAATACATTATTTGATAACAACTATATTGTAAAAGCAACAAAATGGATATTTATTGTAATAAAAAATTATCTATCAATTGACTCAAAATAATTATGATATTTTATATCTTTCAAGTATTATATTGTATGTATGCCATGTTTATGTTTTAAAATTGACTCAAATGTTTAATTGTTAAAAAAATTCGTAAGGGTTCCGCAGAACCCAGTGTCTCGCCTACTTTTGCTGTTAATCGCGGGCTCAACAAAAATGAGGAAAAAAATCAATAAAAATATTCCTTTAGATACTATCTTTTGATTGTAAGAAGCTTCTGTCAAAGTTTGGTATAAATCCAGGATAGTTTATGAATCTAATAAATGTTTTAAAAACTTTAACTGAAGACTGTATTTAATGTTAACTGGAAGAAAAACTAAGTCCATTTATAAGTAAAATACGGATAAACAGGTACAAAATTTTAACAAAATTTCCTTCTAGATACTAGCTTTTGATCATAAACAAGCTTCTGTCCAAGTTTGGTACAAATCCAGGATAGTATAAGAAAGTTATTAAAATTTTAAAAACTTTAACCACAGAGTGAATATTTGTGGACTCCGCCAACGACGACGACGCCGACGGAATGTAGGATTGCTATGTCTCGCTTTTTCGACTAAAGTCGAAAGCTCAACAAAAAAAGACATTGCATACTTACACTGTGTAAGCTCTAGACAAGCAAACAAGGTTATGAAATATGTGCATGCAGTGTTAATGTGTTTACTGTATGTTATGCTTTTTCTGCACCCAACTGTAACTGTAAGAAAATTGTCTCGAAATTCTTGTCAACCTGTCTATTATTGAAGATCATATGTTGACCTCTAGATATCTTTGGTTTTGTGTTGCTGGGTTGCTGTCTCATTGACATTTACACCATCTCTACTTTATTCATATTTACTTAAAAATCAAATTCAATTTAAACACTTAAGACAAACAATCACCACTTTAAGAAATGCTTTTCCCCTTTGTGACCCATGTCAAGTTTAACGTGTAAAGATATTGATAACTCTTACCCAAGCCATGATGGATCTTTGTACTGGTCAATATCCCGATCTTCATAGTAACTGACTTTATAGGAAGGTGAGGATTTTAATGTTGCTATATCAGAAGTGTAATAGTTAATTCCAAGAAAATCTGAAGATCCTGAAATATTCATATAATATTATATGTACAAACACAAAAATATTCATAATAAGATCAACACTGATAAATGTGTATGGGCCTGAAATAAATGTAGATGGAGAGCCAGAAGTCACAGCATATTTTATTCCAACAAGTGAAAAAAAAAACGATTTTTTTATTTCTTAAAACATGTAAAATTAAGCCATATTTGAATAAAAAATGCCTTCTAATGATTCCAATTTGTTATAAAATTATAACTAAAAAGGACCAGTTACCAGTTAACGTCACCTGGCATTTTATGTAATAATGGACATGTTTCGTGAATACAACATACTGCTATTATCTGCACACTATAACTTTCATTTAATTTTTTGAAGCATATATTGTTTTGTTTGATCAGATTTAAACAAGAAAATTATGAGTTTTCACTTTTTTTAATACTTTGTTGGAATATATGTGTGTGGGGACATGAAATCCTCTGTTTTAAAAAACTTTCCGTTTTCATACAAAGTAATATCAAAGCTTGTTTTAGAACGAACTTTCGTAAGAATTAAAGAAACTAATTTGAAAATTAACTTCTTTGCTCTTGTTGAATACTGTGTAATTTTATTTCAAGTCACATAAATTCTTAATCAGCTCAGATTTAGCAAGAGGAAGAAAGCTTTAGAATTTTGGACGGAAGGACTATATGTTTGGTTTATTTGACATCCAACCTTCTCTTACCATAGTCTATCAAAATATGAAACTGTGGTTCATGCAGATTAAGCAAAAATTTCTATTATCTAGTAGCTAGATTCTGAAGTGATGGTAACTGGTTCTCGTACTTAAACACAAAAACTGCCACAATAGTACCCAGCTTAACCTTATATATGATTAGTTGTAAGGCGATTTGAAGTCGAGTCTATGGTATTCATTCATGTGATGGACTGTGAAACTTAGATCAGGAGATTGTAAAATTTTGGTCAGGAGATTAGGACTCAGATCAGGAGGTTTTTAATCAACATTAATTTTGTCGTAAATGTAACCGTGTGCTGTAGAAATTGTCTTTTAAAGTGTTTTTTCTTCAATTTTCCATCCGAATGTATTATGTTTAAAGTACCCTTGTACTTATAAATTTTCTCTATCTTTATTCAACATGTTCAATTTTACATATTTTTTTTTTCAGTATGTTCTTTCACCTTTAACTAACAATTATAAGAAAGTTTAATTTAAGACCACTTAAATTCTAAATTCTTATTTGTAAATATATCCAGTTCTTACTTAACTTGTTCTTACACCTCAGCACATTAGGAATATTATTTTTAAAATTTTCTGATGACAATCCTATGAATTAATTATAATATTACTAATTTAGTAATTATTATTGCCTAAATTCAGTCATCTGTACATAATTAAATGTTTCCTTATGTTTAAAGGTGTATATAGTTGCTACAATTATACCCTATGGGTAGTGCTCCACAATTAATGGAGGAATATACAAGAAACTGAACTGAACTTTAAATTCTTTATTTTATAACTTTTTTTATCATTATTTTTCAGAACAATCACTATAATCACAACATTTGTTTAACTATCGCAAATAGATCTTTTTTGCATGTTAAAAAACACATTGAACTGGTCATAGTTATTATATAAATTTCAATTTAAGCCTTGAAAGGAAGTATAGAACCCTCAAATAATTTTCAAATTAATTATTTTATCTGTCCTAAGACATTTAAAATAATTTAATTACCATTCTTTTATGATTATTTGTTCAATTTATATTTTATTTATATTCTTTTAAAAATTTACATTATTCAAAGGAAAGTAACTTAAAACAGGATAAATCAAGGGAAGTAACCTCATTTCAATTATTTTTGAATACACAAAGTTTTTATTCAACAACGGCAGTTAGCCTGAGGTAAAAATCGTTGATTACCAGTATGTTTGACACCCAAGCTGACAAGTGAAGCCATATAATTATGCATATTAATTGATTTACATGTAAAATATAACTTCAGGTTATGTCAGTTACACCAGATATGTTGGGCTGAAATTTTTCATTCATGAAATATTTCATACACGGGATTTTTTTCTCTTCAACCAGAGGTCGGGAGGAGACTCCTGAAAACGGGATTATTGTACCCCCGTCGGGAGGTTCACATGTATGGGTATTAGAACTGACTTTTGGTAACCCGTTATACATGTATGTTAAAAAAATATGTGCAAACAGAATTCCTGTAAAAAAATATTTGAGAAAAATTGCAAATTTCTGACGATAACTGGTACTGGACCAGAAGGGATGGTATCTTTTCTTTTTAATATTATTTAAAATTAAAATAATATAAAAATTTCAATGATCGGTGCTAATAACACAATTGTGCAACTTAATTTGCTTATTTTAAAAAGTTATAAATGATTATGTATCTTAGGGAAATGACTTCAGGTAATACATAACTCACACCTAAATCATTATGAACAGGCATTAAAACATGGCAGGTTTTCATTTTCACTCAATGTTTGATAACCAATGTATGCCATCATGAGTTAATAGGTCAGTAATTTTGCCTTTTGAAAGGTCCTGATAAATTGCTTGCGCAAGTATTCTTAAATATGCATTTGGAATTGCATCCCAAAAAGAGCGAGTTCCAATGTTGTGTATTCAGTCCTACAAGATGTGACTATGCATTGATCCCTCAAACAAGGGACCAGTTAAAGGAACAACTAAACCCTATTAAGCTCTTTGGTATTTTTTCTTTCCTCTTAAAAAGATTTGATTTGATTTTTGGTGTTTTAACGCCACTTTTAAGCACCCCTTTTGGGCTATATCGTGGCGGCCAGTTTTTATTGGTGGAGGAAGCCGGAGTGCTGGAGAAAACCATGACCTTCGATAGGAAAACTGACAATCCTAGTCAATTAAGATTGAAGTCGAGTGCACCCGCACGAGCGGGGTTCGAACTCACAACCTCAGTGTTGACTGGCTAGTGATTACAGTAGTAACTACTTAGACCACTCGGTCACCGAGGCCCCCACCTCTTAAAAAGATTGTCATTATGTATACCTTTGATATAGTTCTTTTCCTCCTCTGTGAAGCTGGGCAGACGACTGGATGGTAATTTCTGATGCTCACTCTTGTTTGCAATTTTAGATTTCATGACATCAGGATAATCACCATTGACAAATATAGGATGTCCATACCAGCCTATCCAGAACTGGTTCCCTATCTCTGAAGCTTCTAAATCACTAGGGTCTAATGTATCCTCTGGTTCAAACCAGTTGAAGTTCAATGTGATACCTATCTGACCTGTAAATATATATCACAAACTAATCAAGGTGCTATTTGGTGACATAATGCCATACTCCTTCTTCACATTTCCATATTCAGTGAACTTCAAAATCTGAATCATAACCATAACCATAATGTTGCATATAC